AAGATGAAGACATAAACAGTCAATTCGGCTGAGGCCCACCTTCTAACAATGAGATCACTAGCAGTAGGAGTGTGCAGGTTACTTCCACGATTAAATTTCAAGTGCAAAGCACATATAAGTGTGCACTTATCAATACCGAACGGAAACAGCCTTCTTGCTTTTTTCGTTTCTTCTACTGCTTATCCCAACTCATCCTGGATACAAGAGTCAGGTGTAAGTGCAGCTTAAATCTGACAAGTACAAATGCTCAGGGTCTTTGAAAGGCAGGCTTAAGGTTCTTCTGTGTAACTATAATGTGGTAGGATTGCTGTCTGGAATGGTACTTACAAGTTTCAAGACTGCTTCCCTGAAAAGTTGTCAGCTCACATTACATTAAAATTGTCAGGATCCGAGCGGAAACAGTCTGTGATGAGAAATGGCACAGAATTCAAATATCTGTTGACTGACCTACTGTTATAATTAAATAATGACTGATAAAACAGCTCCCTATTTTATCTAGAGAGTAGTTTAACATCCTGCATAGTTTGTAACATCCATCAAGTAATTTTTAGTGTTATGCTCTAACTTCTGATGCCACCGTTTTTCAGAAGTCCAGTCAGTGCAGAAACCAGTCAGAAAAAACAACTTCAGTCTGGGAGTCATACGATTTTATTTATGGGTAAGACATGGATCACGCCTTACAACCACACTGTACCTGTTAGTAGTTTTGGGTTTGGTTCTAATTATGCTTCTTCTGAGTTTCAACAGCAAAATGCAGATAGCAGCAGAATTGCCCTTAGCTGAAAAGGAGGTGCCAGGCTACCCTACTGCTAATGCCACATTTCAACACACACATAAACCCAGCACAGTGCCCTTCAGCATCTTGGGCCCTGATCATTATTTATGTGAGCAGTGAAGTTTCCATTCACTCTGCCAGGGGCCACCTGAACCTTTGTAATTTAATGGAAGGAGAAACTTCTAAGATGACAAACATTCTACTACAGCACCAAGAAAGGTTTAATCAGTGTAGATAATCTAGACATAAGGAAGTATAGTTACGTTTGAAAAGCCAGTGATCCATCTTTTTTCCATGTACTTCTGGTACATCTCTTTGTTCCTGTCTGCACACCCCAAACATCTACGCATCTTGTCTTCCAGGTCCAAAATGAAAGCTTATTTTTCCTTACAGTGACTTGGGCCCCTCATGTAACAGATGGCAAAACGCAGTTGCAGGATTTTGTTTCAGGAATAAAATTGGAAAGTAATTCAGCCAGTCATTTATAGAGAGGAAATTAAATTCGGCCCATGTTCAAAGTAACTTCTTCTTTGCCCCAAAATACACAGCCCTGCAACTCTTGACTCAGAGGACAGCATAAAACAGTTTCAAATTAACAACAGTAAATACAAAGACACATTGCTGGTTAGGTTGCTATGAGGAACTGTTTGGAAAAGGGAACTGGAATAGGCCTGTATGATTCAGGATTCTTTAGTGAATACTTTCTGCTGTGGCTGCCTAGCTGCCGTGAAAAGAGTTTTAGTTTTGAAATGGGTTATTTTTGCCTTGGTGCTCTAGAAGTATATAAGCATGATCCTGTTTCATGAAAAGCCATTAAAGAGGAGCATTTGCGTTGTATAGTAACTGTCTATTCATTCTTGCAACAGGAAATGTAGTTGTGTACATGGGATTTTGGTAATAAAACTGGAGACAAAAATTACTTTTCTCCAAGGCCATGGCAACTGGCAGTTCATCAGCAAGAAGGTGACTAGCAGTAGTGCTCCTGTAGATGCCACGAGTGTTTATAAATGTCAAAGAGGCCTTTTGTTTGTTTACAAAGATGCTTAGAGCTCCACTCTATCTAGAGGCACTGCTATAGACATTTGGGGATGGTCCTACGAGGTGGGAGCAGAATTCATACTCCATTTCTAGAGTTAAAACAGAAAAGCCAAGAGAAGATAAAAAGTGAAAATTGTCCTTTGCAATACACAGCTGTGCTCACGAGGTCTAACTATGCTGTGGTCCAAATTATCCTGAATAAACATGAACGGTGCTGCTTGCCTGTGTAACAGTCACTGTCCTTGTGTTTACAGCGGTGATCGATAGTAATTTGATTAATAATTCATCATCGTTACAAGGTAGTAGAATGGTCAACGATCACAGAACTCTCAGCTGAAGTAGTGCTTAAGCTTAGGAAAAGGTGGTGCTATCAATGGAAAGAAATTTGCATGTTCAAGGTGACAGTGTGAAGAAATAAGGTTATCAGCTTGGATCTGCCAGCACAAACAGGGAACACCATCTGCTACTGGTAGTTCATAACCAATGGGTAAGAGGAGGCAGGAGTCAAACTGATGGTACAGTGAAGCTGAGTAACTGGTTGTCAACTGTGTCCTAGGAGTCTCCTAGGTATCCCGGTACAGCTTCTGGCTGTTATTTAGCAGTCTATTGTAATGATTGACTCTAGGTGCACAACTGCACGTTCAAAGGAACTGGCATCCATGCCAAGGAGACAGATCTGCAGACCTGCATTTCAGCTTTGCCTGCACAACGGTTTCTGTATGCACAGGCTCTTGCAGCAGAGGCTGCCTCATGGCCAGCCTTCTGCAATGAAGTACTCCAAGGATCTCCATGTGTGGCTTGTTTTTCCATAGACATTTTACACTATCGAGAGGAACCCAAGGTATTACCACTGAAAACTAGTGAGCAGTTCAGCATGCCCATTAAAATCACATCTCTCTGCTTTTCTCAAGCGTCCATGTAGTTCATTTCTCCCGTAACAAACCTGAAGACACCAAAGCTGTTGAGAGTGTACCTGCAGCTGGCTGGCTGCAAGACACACAGATATCATTCTGCCCCTGTATAAACGGAAGAGCATAGCATGAAAACCAGCTTGCAATACAAAAAATAAATTAAACTATATTATCTGTTACTTAAACAAGATCCCTGGTTTTAATAGCATTGGAGGGCACTGAAGGCTACACACAGACACATTTTGGGGAGTTCAGGGCTTAAAAATAAAAAATAAAAAAAAATGCACTTATCCTGTGGCCTTTTGAGTTTTTGTACCGTGATGCTCCAGAGAAGCTGGAGTGGTATTAACTACAGCACTAGGATTCACTCCTGTTAGGAAACCTCACTCTGCAGTTCCAGCATATATGCCATAACTGTTTAGCATTGAGGCTTTCTGTGGTGATCGCAGACTCCCTGAGAAAAAGAAACCTGTTTTATTGACACAAACATCATAATATCATAGAATGGTTTGGGTTGGAAGGCACCTTAAAGACCATCTAATTCTATGGCATGGGCATGGACACCTTCTACCAGACCAGCCCCGTCCAACCTGGCCTTGAACACTGCCAGGATGGGGCAGCCTCAACTTCTTTGGTCAACTTGTTCCAGTGACTCACCACCCTCATGGTACAAATTTTTTTCCTAGTGTCTGTTCTAAATCTACCCTCTTTCAATTTAAAGCCATTCCCCCTTGTCCTGTTATTAACTGCCCTTGTAAAAAGTCCCTCTCCAGATTTCTTGTAGGCCCCCTTTAGGTGTCCGAAAACTGCTGCAGTGTCTCTCCCCTGAGCCTTCTCTTCTCCAGGCTGAACAAGCCCAACTGTCTCAGCCTGTCTCCAAACAGGAGGTGCTCAAGCCCTCCGAGCATCTTTGTACTCCTCCTCTGATCCAGTGAGGCCAATAGCTCCATCTCTTTCTTATGTTGAGGACACCAGAAGTGCACACAGACCTCCAGTTGGGGTCTCAGAGCAAAGCAGGATCACCTGCTTCGACCTGCTGGTCATGCTCCTCTTGATGCAGCCCAGGACACGGCTGGTTTCTGGGCTGCAAGCACACACTGCTGGCTCATGTTCAGTTTCTTATTGACCAACACCCCCAAGTCCTTCTCTGCAGAGCTGCTCTGAATCTCTGAGCAACCTGTAGCTGTGACTGGGATTGCCTTGACCCAGGTGTAGGACCTTGCGGTTTGCACTGCTGAACTTCATGAGGTTTGCACTAGCTTACCTCTCCAGAATGTCAAGTTCTCTCTGAATGTCACTCCTTCCCCTCCAGCAGTCTCACAACACTGGCTAATACTTGGGATATAGCCACCATATCAGCTGCTAGCAGTGACAAAAAGATTAGCCATTGCAACACACAAGTTACTTCTGGAAAGTACTAAAGACACTGAAAATTGATTCCTTTTTTACCCCATATGAACTGCTTCAGGTGCACCACAGGTGCTGATGTAGGATCTGTGCATGTTTAAAGCTGCAGCCATTTTTCATACAAAAATCAACATCAATAACACAAGAAGCAACGGGCACAGAATGAAACACCAAGGTTCTGTCTGAAAATCAGGGAACACTTCTTTACTGTGATGGAGGGTGAGCACTGGCACACGTTGCCCATGGGGGCTGTGGAGTCTTCTATCTTGGAGATACTCTAAAGCCAGAATAGTCCCGGTCAACCAGTACTAGCTGATCCCCCTTTGGGGGGGGAGGGGGGGGGGTGGCAGACCAGGGAACCTCCAGAGGTCCCTTCCAACTTCAGCCATTCTGTGGTTCTGCGATACAAAACAAACAGACCAAACAGATCACATCATAACTTCCTCAGCACTACTATACAGTCCCAGTAATTTTAAACCTAAGGTGCATCAAGTGACGGGAATGTAAAGTGCCCTATTCTCCAGTCTTAAAACTGGTAAAACTTTATTAGCAGAAATATTCCCTGCATTAGGACTGAAGCTGTGCACTCAAAGCACACTGAATAATATCTTTAGCATTAAAATAACACTGGAAACATTAAAAACACATAGAATGAAAGGATTAAACAGAACAAAGGGAGTTCTTTTGTTAAAACACAGCACACAAGTGGAATAAAATAATACATCTATGTAAAAAAGAAACATTTTGGCAGCTCTGTCAAGCTCAAGAATCAAATTAGTCAACCTGTTAGAAAAAAAACAGATATGGTTCTTACTGTAGGTGCAAAACAAAACAACTATGCAGCAATAAACCAACAGGTAAGTGCGGTGTGCTTGACATCCATTTAGTAGACAAATAGTCACACGGCAATAACCATGTTTTCACATCTGTACCATGGGATGGGAAACCACAGATACACTATGTAAACAAATTTGTTTCCAGAGCTTTTCCAAAGCATTTTGTTCAAATTAGGCAATTTTGGGTTAAAACATCACGGTACTCATGTATTGTCCTGCAAAGAAGAGCCTGTCAACACCATGGTCGTTTTCTGAAGATCCATCAACAGGTATCATGGGAGAGGCTCCAGCAGATCCAGTTTCAAGTTCAGCAGTGGCTAGGGAGAAAAGAGAAAAGGTTCCTGGTGTTACTTTCACAGTAGGCAGGGCCAAAGATATTACTGTAAAAACATCATGGGTAACTGGAGAAACTGCAGTCCAGAAAGAGATTTAAAAAATTCCAAGAGAACATAACAATGAAAGGGCTAGGCACAAAGGAAGAAACATTTTTTTCTACCTTTGCTTATCAGCCAATGGTATTTCTAAAGCTAGTCAAAGAAATTCCAGAGGCTACACACTTAACATCTCAGGGGATTCACAAATGAGTCCTGCTCATGAGCCAGTGCCAAGTTTGGCCCCCTGCAGACCTCTTCGACCTCAAGGATCCTTTTTCCTTAAACATTCAAACCAGTGATTTACTGGAACACTACTAAAAAACACCTTCTGCATTCACTGTGGCAAACTTTTAAAGCATCTGCCTGTGAAAATACAAACACCTGTGCTGTGCAGTCAGGCCAGGACATGTTTCCCAGCCTGACACCTTCTCTGAGGAGTGTCTTTATAACTTGCCCTGGCATAACCCTCTTTCCTCCATGAAAACACATGCCCAATGAAAGCAAACTTGACTTTGCCATCTTTCTCCAGTCATCTTTTTCAGACAAGGTCCCCAAACCAAACACACTCCATGATTCCTAGCAGATGCAAAATTATGCTCAAAATAATACAAATGGATGCAATGCAATGGCTTTGGGAAGACACATGGGAAGAGCTAGGAAGGTACGGCTGTACCCTCTCTCTGATTAAAAACATACAGGAACAGAACAAAATTCTCTTAGGGGCTACCTGCCCTGGAATGGCACCACTCACTGCAAAGCCATGAGCCTGGAGGAACAGCTATTATGAAATAGGTGGAATTCCTCTTCGGACATCCAGCCTCATATTATGGAGCATGTTTTATGCTATGCATTACAAGCATTCAACTCATCTTATGTTTGCCTAAATATTACTAATTGATCTTTTCCTAAAGAAAGGGTATCTTTTGACATCGATTCACAGAATCACAGAATCCCAAGGGTTGGAAGGGACCTCAAAAGATCATTTAGTCCAACCCCCCTGCAAGAGCAGGGTAACCTAGAGTACACCACACAGAAACTTGTCCAGGCAGGCCTTGAATATCTCCAACATAGGAGACTCCACAACCCCCCTGGGCAACCCGTTCCAGTGCTCTGTCACTCTCACAGTAAAGAAGTTTTTCCTGATGTTCATATGGAACCTCCTATGCTCCAGTTTACACCCATTGCCCCTTGTCCTATCACTGGTACATCACTGAAAAAAACCTAGCTCCATCATCCTGACACTCACCCTTTACATATTTGTAAACATTGATGAGGTCACCCCTCAGTCTCCTCTCCTCCAAGCTAAAGAGACCCTCAGCCTTTCCTCATACGGGAGATGTTCCACTCCCTTAATCATCTTTGTGGCTCTGTGCTGGACTCTTTCAAGCAATTCCCTGTCCTTCTTGAACTGAGGGGCACAGAACTGGACACAGTATTCCAGATGCGGCCTCACCAAGGCAGAATAGAGGGGGAGGAGAACCTCTCTTGACCTACTAACCACACCCTTTCTAACGCACCTTAGGATGCCATTGGCCTTCTTGGCCACAAAGGCACATTGCTGGCTCATGCTCATCCTCCTATCCACCAGGACCCCCAGCCCCCTTTCCCCTTCACTACTTTCCAGCAGGTCAACCCCCAACCTGTACTGGTACATGGGGTTGTTCTTCCCCAGATGCAAGACTCCACACTTGCCCTTGTTGAATTTCATCAAATTTCTTCCCGCCCAACTCTCCAGCCTATCCAGGTCTCGCTGAATGGCAGCACATTCTTGCTTATTCAAAACACTGGCAACATACAAGCTACAGGCAAAAATCAAGAACTAACTGCAGAGAACGTGTCTGGTTTAGTGCTGAATGCAAACTATGTACATGGAAGGAGAAATGACGGCTGAAATGTACAGAATCTTATCACAGGGCTTCTTTTATGTTTGATGTGCTTGAGGATTAACTCCAGTGAAAGGTGACGTCTGCTTAAGCCAGTGTATCAGTGTGATAAACAGGTTAGTTTTCTTTGTTCTTGTTATTTTTCAGGCAACTGCATAACATTCTACATAATATTGTGGTAAGCAGGAGGTCTTCACATTGACATCTGAACTGGAAAGTTAGCAGAAAAACCCTGTGTTTAGCATGGGAACTTGACGGCTTTCAAGCCATTATCTGCAAGAGTTAGGAACAGTCATCTTTTTCCTTTAAAAGCACTCCTAACATGACACATTACCCTGTTCAAGTTCTTTAGTGATTTTTTCATCCAGTTCCTGCCGTACCTAGAATCATACAGAAAACATACACAATATATTAAGTTACATTTTTGTAATATTAAACTTTTATAACATTGTAAAAACACACACATAACTTCATCAAAACTAAAAAAAAAAAAAAACCAAAAAAACCCCAAAACTAAAAAACTGAAAAAAAATAAATAAAAATCATCCCAAATAGAAACATCTTGGTTAGGGGTTAGAGGTCTGATTTTCAATGAAGACAACCTCCTGATCAGCCAGGCTGTAGCATTCTCATCACTGAGCTACATTAACCATAGCACAACCTGTAACTCACCAGCTGGATTTTAACTAGGCATTTAAAACATATACAGGAAGAATACAAAGTGGAGTTATTACAATGAAGGTGCGGCTAAAGTCTAGCATCAAGTACATGAGCAGAATGTCAGCTAATTGCTGAGATGTGTACAAATGCCATCCACAGGGAAAATTCAGTTGTCTTCTGTGACTTCATAAGAATAGGGATGCAGTAGCAGGTGCCAAAGAACTGACATGTATTGCTGTACAGAAAAAAAATGCCAATATTCTTTTCTCCACCTTAAGATGGAGAATTGAAAGTGCTCCCACAAATCATGCCAGGATTTTTCTTTGTTACTGTAAATACCATGACACACTTATAAAAACATACAATTTTTTCTTGTGAACTTTGTAATAAGCAAAGATAACAACACCTACAGCTTCTACTCAGCAAGTGCTGCGGGATTTATTATGTAACCAAAAAATCTGCCTTGATCACTAGAAAGAAGCACTTCTCCTTTCTTCCCTAGAAGGTGGTTATTGCTACCAATTAAGTTATTCTCACAATTCTGACTTCAAAGTCTCCATAAGAAAAAATCAGGTATTTTTGAGAGTCACAGTCCAAGCACTACAAGCTGTTGTTTACATCTGATGACACTTGCGACTCCTGCATTTTTTCCCATGAAGTTCGTGACACGCAGAAGTGAATTTCAAAACAGACAGCATACAGCTGTCACGCCTTTGATAGCCATAAAGATGCTGAAGGGCTTGGACTACGTGAGCTACGTGGAGAGGCTGTGAGCTTCAACTGTTTCTTTACTGGAGTAGAGAAAGCTCAGGGAGACCTTAGTTACGTGTATAAATACCTGGTGGGGGGTAGTAAACAAGACAGAATCATAATCTCAGTGCTGCCAAGTAAAACAAGAAGAGGAATGGGCACAAATCTAAATAGGGGAAATTCCACAGAGGAGGGGTGAGGTTGGAGTACATGACCTTTGTAGGCCCCTTCCACCCTCACCCATTCTGTAATTCTCTGATTTTAGTACTGAATCCTTGGGGGTATTTATGTATTTCACGAAATGAGCAAGCTCATCTAGCAACATACCAACAACAAAAAGAAGAACCAGAACACTGTACAATGTACTCAACAGGCCATAGGGTGCAAGAGCTTCGGGAAAAAGGAAGCACTCTGCGTACTCCTACAAGAGGAGCAGTAACAGACTAACTCTAAGGGCCAAAGAAGTGCACCCATAAGCCAGCAAAGTGGAGAGAAGGGCCGTCTCCCCGGGACTGCAGGAATAGCTGTGATCAAATCCACTACTCCACCAGACTGGAATAGTGTGTCATCACAGCTAGAAGAGAGGAGCATGGAGCTGAAAGAACAACAGAAAAGGATCACTCAAATCTCTACTTGTCTTCAAACAGATACAAGCAGCATCTGATAAGAGCAGCACAAAAAGAAACACAGGTAACGGGAAAAAAACCCCCAGAAAACTAATGCCTAGATCAAAAGATGATCCACGACCAATCCTAAACAAAGCAATAGGAGTTGAAGTGTTAGAAGAAACCACCTTCTCTGGTTTCTGGAGCTTTCACAATGATCAGAAGGTCCACAGGACCCTTCGCAACATGCGTGGATGAATGAAGAGAAGAAAAAGATCTTGTTTTCCTCTTACTTACTACATTAACATCTTCGTGATTTTCATCCACACCTGAGGAAAGAGAAATAGGTGGAAACCAACACACACCGATTTCTGACAGGTGAGTAAGAGCCAGGCAAAATACACCTTTGACAGCTATAATTTCCCTCCACTGTTCCCCTCCCCTTTAGTCTCCTGGAAAAAGGATCACAGCTGACTATCCCAAAGCTCCTGAGCAGGTACTACTAATCATACTGAATCATACTGCATATCTGTGCAGGCTGCAACATACTGGTTTCCCTTGCAGCAGCCACCTTCCCAAGAACTCTTTTCCAGAAAGCAGTGTTGACTTACTTATACTCAGAGATTATACTCAGAGACTAGGAACCCAACGTCAGAACAGTATTGGTACTTCAGACACAACCACTGTAACTACCAAGAACTTTCTGAATATCACAACTGGCAAGAAGGATTAACTAGCATACTCCTACAGATTAAGAAGTTCCATCATAACAGATGAAATCCATACACTGTCATCTTACAGATGGTTAACTACCACAGAAGCCATATGTTGTGGCTTAAGCCCAGCCGGCAAACCAGAAACCACGCGCCCACTCGCTCACTCCCTCCACTTCTTCCCCCCACTCCCAGAGGGATGGGGAGGAGAATCAAAAGAATGTAACACCCACGGGTTGATATAAGAACAATCCAGTAACTAAGGTATAACACAAACCACTACTGTTACCACCAAGAATAATAATGATAAGGAAAATAACAAGGGAAGAGAATACAACTGCTCACCACCCGCTGACTGATACCCAGCCCAACCTGAGCAGTGATCTAGCCCTTCCAGGTAACTGCTCCCTGTTTATACACTGGGCATGACGTGCTGTGGTAGGGAATACCTCTTTGGCTAGTTTGGGTCAGGTGTCCTGTCTCTGCTTCCTCCTGGCTTCCCCTCCTCCCTGTCAGAGCATGAGACTTAGAAAGTCCCTGGTCAGAGTAAACATTACTGAGCAGCAACTAAAAACATCAGTGTTATCAGTGCTGTTCACAGGCTGAGAGTCAAAAACACAGCACTGCACCAGCTACTAAGAAGGAGAAAAAAATCACTGCTACTGCTGAACCCAGGACATCATAACATTACAAATACATAGAGCATCAAAGTACCCTACAGCAGTCTTTCTTTCACTTGGACAAACTAACATATTAAAAATATTAGGAAAATGTGAATGCATAAGTAAGTTTTAATTGAAACCTAACAGCTTAAATGACAAAACATTTCCAGTATAAAATAACACCCAACATTAAACAATACTGTCTACAAACCTTGTCACATAGGTGGCTGCAGAGAAGAAAGAACAGATTTTTGGTTAAGGAGCTGAAGAAGAAAGAAAAACAACCGTAAGTTCAAGACTCTTCAGTGAGAAGTAATAACACAGCCTCTATGTTAATGAAGCAAGTAAAAAAGCTAACAATACAAATATTGGTACAAGAGAGCAGATGAAAAACAAAATCAGAAAAACAACAGAAACTGAGAGAGTAGGAAGCAGACATTCCCTTTTTCATATTACTTAAGAAAGCTGGTTTCATAAATGCACTAATTCACACTGATTGCGGCTAGCAGAGTTCACTATTACTTTGTGTTTCAAGACACACACGTTCATTTTCACCTGTCTTTGGCACAGCTGTTAGGATTTAAGTTTGGCATTTATTAAACCTAACAATAGAATTCCAGTCTCAAAATCTCCTTGTAGCACTTGCAGCAGATATTCCTCGCCTTGGTCTATGGACTAAGGCAGCAGTTCCGAAATTATAGTACGCAGGACACGAGCAGTACTTTGTATCTGTGTTTCATCTGACTCGGTTTAGTTCTGGATGGTTAGATACCAATTAATGAGCAATTTGGGAGTCAGTAGACCAGGTCAGTAGAAGACAAAAAAGATCCCATCTAAGATCATTTTACTCCTGTAAAGGACAGGCAATACACACATACATCCTTCTTATGACACAAATACTATGAAACAGATTTCAGCCAGACCCCTTCCAGAACATAATGAGCTGCTAGTCGCTACAGTCACTGCTTGTAATTACATGCACAGAATTTTTAAAGTACTTGTCATCTGTTCCTCATTCCTAAAATAACAAAATTAAAAATACAATAAAATCTAATAAAAATTATAACAAAGCCGAAAGACATAAAAAACAAAGACATTCGCATATGATTGGTGTTTTACTGGCTAATGAGCTTGTGTCAATATGAACATTTTTGTATTTTTCAAGATACTTCTGCACTTCCATGTCAAGGTTATTAATTTCTGTAGCATACGTATCCAATAAGGGGGAAGAGGCTATACTGTAATGGAACGTATTTCTTTATTCTAAAATAAAAAATTAAAAAATCATATAATGCTCATTTTTTGCTAAGCTTGCCACACAACCATCTTCAAAATATAAGCCTATATGCATAATCACTGGCATTGTCTATTATGTTAACTAGCAGTTTAGGAAAACTGCTCTTTCAAGCCTTTAAACTCCATATTCCTTAGTTATGTCTAAAAGAAGCAGGTGTGTCCATCTGCTAGAGGAGCACTTCTTCCTCTTGTTTGCAGCCAGCATCATTTACCAATGTTTTTTCCAAGAGCTGTATGGACAAAGAATTAATAACCAGCATTTTGAATAATAGTGTGAAATGTTTTCACCTCCTTGCTCCAAAAGCTATTTCAAAGCTTTCGCACAACCCAAATTTACATAAACATCCTCCTCTTAAGAACGGCATGTCCTCTACCTCAGATAGTCTTTCTCACCTTGAGGAAGATACTGTGAGAAACACAGAATCTGCGTAGAGAGCTTTGACTAAAAAAAGAAGTGCACGATGACTACCTGAGACACACTTCAGTTTAAGCTCCTTAACTCCCTGTGATTACGAGCTTTGCTGGCATAAGCATTTGTAATCTCCAGCCAGAAGGCACTGCTCAGCCTGAATTCAAAGACAAGACAAATTTGGTAGAAGGGAACCAAGTTACTGGACAAAAACTGGAGGCATAACTGAAGCGAACAGTGAAGTATAGAAAAGCCTTAGAGAAACTCTTCCATCTTTAAACAGCCTGATAGGCAGAGTACTAAGCAGCAAAGCACTTACAAAAGCAAAGTACAACCAGCAAAGTGATTCAAAACAGACAAACTGTCATTTCTGAATTCTTTCCTCCTGTTACCTCCTGTCTCCAGAATAGTACAAGATTCCTTCAGAAATAACAGCATCTGGTAATTTCGCATTTGGAAACTGACTGACATTCAGCACCCATTACTGTATGCAGATGGATATATGCAGTTTTCCCCTTTAGTTACTTCCTGACTTAAAGCCTTATTTCCAATTGAATCCCTTTTTTTTTTTTACATAAATGGTAAGAATCCTTCCTTTCAGTTCCTCAAAGATACAGTATGGCTTTAAACACTGTTAATGACTTACTGCATCCAGCTGAGGAAAATAAACCCAGCAGTTCTAAGCGAATTACCCACTTAGATGCAAGTCCTTCAGCAACTACTGCACCTTTGAGAATCCTGTTACTTTTTTCTGAAGGACTCTGACAAAGAAGATCAGGTTTTAAGACTTGCCTGAATACACTGAACTGTACTCTCAGCCTGAAGACACCAAACTCTGACTTGTGGTTACACAGAGTTTGTGATTACAGTTAGTCTCAGTTGTTCCCTAAGTGGCAATTACAGGAAGAAGTCTCACAAAAGGATGCGCAGCTGGATTTAGTATCAGGGAGGATAAATTCATACCAGTCATTTTAAGTCCCAGAAACCAGCCAAAACCTGCAGCTTTGACTGAGGGAAAAGAGGCATGTTGAGATTTGCAGCTTTCTCTTAAGGGAATCTGGTAGGAACGGTAAGAAATTGGTGAGTTCTCTGAGCAAGTTCTACTCATACAATCAACTGGGTTGGAAAAGACCTTTAAGTCCAACCATTCATCTTCATTCAAGGAAGAAAACTTTAGAATTTAATACTATATTAAAATTAAAAGCTAATCCTTTTAAGACAAACTGTGTATAGTAAATTATTCTCAGATCAGTTGACAACAAACTAAAAGTCTCTCTACCATGTAAACAAGATCAAACACAACTTCTAGGGACCTAGTACTACTAACAAAACTGCACTAGGAAGGAGACATTCAGGTATGTAAGAAAGATCCCAAGCAAACAAACAAACCCTCAGCTCACGTCAGTAACTGCAGACTGGGAAAACGTCATACATAACTGTTCAACTTCCTTGAGATTCTGCTCAAGCCTGATGGGTATTTTTGGTTCTGTTTTTTTAAACCTCCAAAGCAACGCCTCAAAATACAGTATCAAATCCTAAAGGCATTATACAGCATAGTAATCTACCACAAAACATGAGAGACATGCTCGGAAAAGAAACATAGGTGCCACTGAAATCAGGACACACTGAGTAAGAACAGTATCACCATTCTCAGATCTAATGCATGCTTTTCTTGGAATCAACTCAAATGTTTTTCACAAGTAGATTTGGGAATCATTCTTCACAAGGAAGTTGAAGCAGCCTACATACCGATTTGAAATATGCCACTGCATATATTAGCAACTGGATAAAAAATAAGCTGTGAAATAGCTTTTTAAAATATTTCTGCAATACATTTAAGGAAAGCTAGTAAACTAGTAACGGTCTCTTGGTATTGACAAAGCTTTGAGACATCCAGACTGTTCCAATTTCTTCTGGAAAATTAAAACGAATAGGACCACCTGAAGAATGTTACTGTAATTCAGCTAAGAAGCACTTAGTACTCTTTCTTTCCCTTCACTGTCTTCTTTTTTCCTGTTTATTATTATTATTCAAAAAAAGGCATAGCTGTTAACACTTTCAAACTAGGGCAGCTTTTTTTCCCTAAAAGTAGGACGGTTTCCTCCTTGCCTTTCTCTTAACAAATTACTCCCATCTTTCCGGGCCTTCTTTTCCTCACTTGTTCCCTTCTCCCACCCCTCTTGTCCCTTTGTCCTGGCCTTCTCCTTTTTTCACTTGTGAGGTGCTCCCGTCAAAATCTTGCCTCCCTTCTACTGCTTGCACGGAGAATAGCCCCTGCAGATACTACAGTAGTAACTGCCTCCCAAGTTTCTTCTGTAATGCATCTCCACCTCTCTGACCAAAATACACATTCACAGTGATACATGAAAGTTCATCTTCCTAACTACAACTGCTACACATTATGTATACTGCTTTGTCTGGCTTTGTTACATTTGTTGTTGGGTGGTTGGGTTTTTTTTCTCCTTAAACCATGTGCAGTTTGGAGGCACATTGTTTAAAAGCCTTCTTTCCAATGAGGGTGGCACGACTGAACGAAGATTGACTTAAAAGTGAACAAATTCTTCTCACGTTCAACAACAGAATACACAAGGGACAGAACACTGAATAGAGAAGCTCCTCCACGCCTCAATCTTATGCTAAATGGGAAACTGATTACACCTTTTGACATCTGCTTTCCAGATCTCATAATGTCCACCATTCTGTGAGGAATGTGCTATCACACTGCCTGCTAATTACAGGGCATATACCTTGGCAAGAGGTATTGCAGAGGTTGCAGCAATGCTGCAAAATTAGAAGCCTGTGAAGACCTCCTGAGGAGCAGCTAATTTTACCCTTTCTTGTAGTAACACATAGCAGGCACTACAAAACCAAATGCCTTCTATGCACAGTATATGACCAGCACTGTGGTGTTAACTTATGCAATCCCGTTCATATCATCCTGTTTATGAAGCATCCTTTGTTGGTATTAATCTTCTAAAACAAGTTCCAGTGAAGAAACTGCTAGAATAAAGATCAGTAAAGAAGGAAAATACATCTCAAACAAAGATGTCTAATGGGATTTTTCACTCATCATAAAGTTAGCTGGTTTAAATAGGTCATACATGCTATGCATTAAAATTTAATGAAGAACTTAGCTGGGAACTTTCTATGCCACAGTATTCTTGATCAAAGTCCCTTTTTTTAAAGAATGTCGTTACACAACTCGTTATTCAGATTTCAGTATTTGTTGGCTCTTTAAGCATTCCTGGAAATCTGTATAACCTTGATGACCAGAAGTCTTCATGCTGACCACTTCTAGCTGTGTACTGTTTTGATCATTAGCGGTTGTTCTGAAATATTAGACCATATGGTCTGGATCTACAAATGGCTTCTAACTTCAGGCTAAAAACCGTAACTTTGCTTATGGATACTCTTTAGCAGTAGTTGAGAACACTATTTCAAAATGCTTACCTTAGCCATATAGGCTTCAACCCTGTTTCTTGATGACAATGCGTTCCAGGTCGGACTTGGGAAGCTTCCTCCTAGACTTAAACTTCTGTTCAGTGTCAAGTTGTTGCCAAGATGTCCCAGGTCAGTTGAATACTGAACTGGACTTTCAGCCAGACCTCCACTGACAATGCTGCTTGTGAATAAAGATTTGTTTCTGCGGCGCTCCTGAAGGAGCTTAGCATTGGCTTCTCCTAGTCTCTCATTAGCTCTGAAACATTCAGAAACACACAAACAGTTATCTTTGGTAGTAACACTTCCGCAAAGTTACCCTCCAGGTCTATGACTATTATTCGATGTTTGAAAGTGAAAGGGATTAAGAGCAGCCAAAACAAGAGCATTGTTTGATCTGAGGTTTTTTCGGGACTTATTTCTAAGAAGTCACACTACCTGCAAGGAGCAGCAAGAGTTACCAACACTTAGGACTGAAAGGTACATCATCTGTATAAGAAAACTCTGGGCTACCCTCCTTTACCCAAGGAGGGCTCAAACCTCAGACACTGTGCTAAAATAAAGTCAAAGATTTTTTTCTTATTTTTTTTTCTTCACAGAATCGAATTCTGTTCTCTGAAAGACCTACACTTATTCAAGCAATAAGGAACCTGAAATTTATCTTTTCTGCTGTACCCAGAATTAGAGGAGGAGATAACTAGAGACTGACAAAAAGGCTCAATGAACTTAAAAGATGCCCTACTGATGCCATGATCCTTGGTACTGCTGAAGCACTAAAGAGACAGCTCTAATGAAGGGGAAGAGTCTTAAGGTACTTTCCTAACAAATATGTTATCTTATGCTTACATGCATAATGCTGACCAGATGGAGAAGAGGGATTTTAGGAGGAAAATACATGAGGAAAAAGTAGTATCTTATTGCCACTCCAAAAAAAGGATGCACGCACCTTTCCAGTTTATCTCCTAGGCGCCTTCTAATTTTTAATTCCTCCAGATACAGCTCTTTGTACCTTTCCAATTCCGCGTGTGTGGATTCTTGTTGAAAAATACCGTCTTGCTGTGTATTTTTTATTTTGTTCAATTCACATTCAAGATCTCTTATTCTATGCTTTAGCTGGTTTCTCAGAGAAGCATGATGACTGGCTCTGATTTGTTCTAATCTGTCCTGGGAAACTGCCTGCGTCTGAAGCAGATAATGCAGCTTCAACCACCACAAAGCAAAAGAGAATCCTCCCCACCAGTCATTTGCATACACTCAATTTCAGGGACCCAGCTTTATCCAGTGAGGCAAGTGTGCCTCCTCACTAACATCATCCATCAAGGCAGAAGAACCCTGGAAATACCACATGAGATAATTTAGCACTATTTTTCATCAAAGCTATTCATGAAGGAACACTGTCTCTATAAGGGCATATAGAAAAGGATTCCTGTAAGTTGGAATACCCATTCAAGGATGAGCAGTGAGAACAAGACCAGTGTACAGCAATACTCCTCAAAACCTGTAAAATGGAAATCTACCTTGGGCAAGCTGTCGATTCAAGGAACTACTGCCACATTGCACACACATAAAAGAACTCTGTCGCAACCATATTCCCCTTCTCCCACCACACTCCAGGAAAGACAGCACAAACACACAGAATCAGGCACCAAAAATAAAATACTAGAAAATGATGACCATAACAGACCATTCTATAATAGAAACTACAGACACATGTGAGAAATTCACTTACCTGCAAAAACAGATTGACTTCTCCTAGTTTTTGTCTTATTTCTTGTGCCGCTCGTTCCTCTACCTCTCGTTTGTATTGCTCTATCTGGCTGAAATCTACCATGTTAGTCTCCATGTAATGTTTGAGCTTAGCCACCTCTTCTTTCAGCTGGCATTCGCTCTTCTCCAGTTTTGTATGGCTCTCACGCATGGTGGACAACTCTTCCCGCAAAATGCAATTTTGTGCTTTGAGCTGCATGCATATTTTAGACTCTTTCTCCAGCTGCTGGGAAAGGTCACCAACCTGTAGACAGTGGGGGAGCAAAAACTGATGAAGGGATTGGCCATCAAGACTACTGTTATCATCTGGTAACTCAGTATTAAAACTAAAGTGAAGCCAGGAACTTTTTTTTAAACAAGAACAGCTTTCACATAATTTCTGATAGCATTCCTCAGGTTCCACATTGTGTCCTGGGAAACAATGATACCGTTTAGAAAAGCAAAACCTGTACTGTATCCCGCCCAACTTGTGCCTAAGAGATGGCTCAGGGGCTGATCTTGGGCAAAGCCAATTTCATACACTTGTTTGATTTGCAGCACTGTTACTCCCCTCTTTTCCAGTGAAGAGATTCATCTGTGAGACCTTGAAGATGCTGCTGCAGCCTCAAGGTGAAGCCAGGCCTGTGCCAGGCCTCACTGCTCTCAGCCCTCACCCTCAGCCACGGACATGACAAACTGGTAGGACAAGCAGACCTGCCCATCCCTATGGACCAGACTGGCAATCTGCACTCCTAGGGAGCCTGCCTGCTATCACAGGGCCTGTTCTGCCTTGCTTGGCGAGGACCTACGGGACTGCTCTGTAGCCCTGCCAGCCCTAGTGCCAGTTTTGGCTTGCTGTTGATGTTCCCTTGCAGATACTGCTCTGCATATAACAGTTGCTTCTTTACTCATCACATCATCATTTATTCAACACTACCAGTATTATAGTCATCTATTACTGGAATAGTAGATAGAGCATCAAGAAAGGTCAATCAATTCCAAAATACATCAAAGAAAGGGGGGGGTGTGCGAGTGTGTGTGTGTTAATCAATGAGAACAGTAGTATAGGAAAGGAATAACACAGGTGTCAAGAGGGAAAACACCACCACCATCACAAAACCATGAACAAACCAAAACTCACCGTTGCTCTTAATCTACCAAGTTCATTGACCGTTTCAGAACACCTGTTCTTCACTTCTCCCTGGCAATTAAGCTGGGACTCCATCTCTCTCTCCTCATATACCCTTACTTTCTTTATAGCTCTGATCATAAGCCTCTTCAACCTGCACAGCAAATTGGTCAAAAAAAAAGAACAATGAGGCACAGGAAGAGCTATCCTCTTTCACATACTGTTATGTAAATAGCACAGGCACAGCTTCCTTCATCGGTAACTGGGAATTACTGAGAAAAAACAGCATTCCTGTGCCGCATATCACCTGGAGGGTCCAAATTTCATGAAAAGAAGATTGAAAGACTTCCCTTCCCTGCAGAGTAAGTACAAAGCAACTTGCCTTTGTTGTTCTTCTGGCAGCTATGGAAAACTATAGGCTCCTGCACAGAAGTGCCTGGCAAGAAGTAAGATGAGGCTTGAACTGGCTCACAAACTGTTGCATACACCTCTTTGTACATTAAAGTCCAATAACACTTCACCATGCTACAAAACCATACCTCTTAGTGTCTTTCTGCAGTTCAATGTTTCTTTTCATTTCCTGATCCAGACGCAGTTCGACTGGGCGTTTCAACTCTACCAGCTTTTTCACTTTCTTTCTTTCATTCTCACACTTTCAAAATAGAAAAGATACATGAAACACAGAGCATAGGAACAATGCAGTATGTGCACCTAGACTTCTCCAGAAAGAAGCTGCAGTATATCTCTGTTAGCCTAGTTCCACAGAATGTCAAGGGACAGAATTCCTGAGAACAGTTAATCCCTTAGTGTTTTACAACAAATAGGACAATAGCTAACAGAAACAGATGCCCTCCCTGACACTAATGCCACTCTCTTCTAATGCTTCAAGGCAAAAAGCTGGAAAAGTTGCTGGAGAACACTTCCTCCGCTCATAGCAGGGATTATGTAGGTATGCACATCACAGGAGCAGAGATCAATCTAAAGCTTTCATGGGACCTTCAATAACCAAAAGGCTTATGGAGGAATTTGATCTTTCAGAGCTCTTCAGTGCTTTATTCCCCTCTACCATTACTTACATCTCCTCTTTCTGGGTATTTACTTACTGACATCTCCCTCTTGGCGTTTTCTCAGCCAAACCAGAGGAGAGTTGGTAACTGTTTTGTACTTCCATTTTTCTTCCACAGAAAAGGAGGAAAGGGAAAGACTAACCCATGGAAACTGGCAGCAATTTCTTGCTTCCTAAGCACTAGTTCATTTGCCCAGTATTCCTTCAGTACAGATTTCTGCAAGGCTTTTAAGCTCCTGCTACCCTGAAAACCTGCACCAGCTCCTTGAAGCACTGCACTGGAAACACAAAGCATTTTAACACTGCTCAGAAACCAAGGAGTTAGAAAATGATCAGAAGGAATCCAAGAAAGATCTGGGGAACTGTGGCCTTATTTGATGTGCTCAACTGATAGCAAACCACACTGGGAACTCTTTCCAGTAGAACTGCTGCAGAATTTACACAAAGATACCCAACTAGCTTTTCCTGGATGATCCCCAGATAACAAGATACTCAGAGCTTGAATGACAGGGATAATGGAAAAAAGCAGAGTATGCAAGAACTCAACAAAAAGGTGGACACAGTTCTCTGGGTGTTGACTAGGTGTTTGGAGAATTTGCTGGGCTCACCTGTTCCAGGAGTTCAGCCTTTTCCCTGTCAAGCTGAGCAACACGCTCTTCAAGGTGGGATCTTGACTTCAACTGCTCTTCCCACATGCTGTGTAAGTCATTTGATGTCAGACCCAGCACATTCTGCTTTTGCATCTATGAAAGCAACAGCAGCAAAAGAAAATCTAAGGTTACCAGAAAGACAACAGTGCAATAGACAGCAGCAACATGAATGGAAACAGGCCTGAATGCTCTTTTCTCAGTCTGAGATCTATGGTTAAAGTTAATGCAGAGTTATAACATAACCAAGAACAGCAGCTGAACCTGGTGGAAAGAATGAATGCTGTAGAAGTGGCAAGATAAGGCTGCAGCTTTGTGGGATAAGATGACACAGGCACACACACACACACACACACACACAAAATCGACCTACAACTTTCTTCCAAAGGTTGTCTGTGGTTCCTAGCAATACATACTTTATAAGATAAGAATTTCGCTAATGCCCACCACAGAAAATACTCTACTCTCATGGCTTCTGTACCATCTCCCAGGAGTAAGAAAATGTTTTCAAATCAGCAATGCTATTTATGCTTCTACCCAACAGAACAAAGTTTTTGCCCAACAGATGCACCTGAGTGGAACAGAATTTGCTGATTCAGTTCATATGTAAAGAATGCAAGTTGACTAGATGCTTTTAGTGGCATTCTGTCAGGGGAAAAAAAGAAAAAAAAAAATGAAAAGATGTCGATCTACAGAAAGTCATAAAAACTTTAGCACAGAGGCTCAGATAAAAAAAATCCTTAGGGTGTGCAACTTTCTCAAGAGTGTCCTTACAGAGTAGAGAAATGCTGTGTCTTGTGACAGAAGCTAACATAATCTCAAGGGAAAGCTCTGACATAACTGCAAAGATAACATGGATCTCCCCAGTCCAGTCTCCTTTTGCAGCTTTCAACTACAGATCTATCTCCCTCTGCCCACATCATTCATCCTATTCACCATCTGCCATGGCTTAACTTCACTAGGCAGCTAAGCACAACACGGTCACTTGCTCACTCCCCCAGTGGGATGGGAGATAGAATTCACTGGACGAATCATGCTGAACACAAGTTCTTGCACACCACAACACAGACAGAAAACACAGCAGCAGGAGAATGAGGAAACTTACAGGCTCTTCCCTTGAGGGTACTTTGCCCTAAAACTAGAAGGGCATTTTTCAGCTTAACTGTGCCTACACAGCCCACCTGTTGTTTTCATTAATTACCTGCATACAAAATATTCCGAGACTAAACCAGCCATTCACAGAAGCCAGACATGTACCTGTTGGTGGTGATCCTCTGCAGCTGCCTGTGCTGTCCGTAAGCTAGTTACCAAGTCTTCCAAGAGATTATGAACCTACAGAAGCATTAAAAGAAGCACTATGACTTTCCAGACTGAAGTTTACACCTCATTACCAGAAATAAATATTACATACCTCTCTGCACCTCTTTATTTCTACAGCATTTACATGAAGCACCAATGACCAAAACAGCCACAGTTTCATGTCACCATAAAATTGTTTGCAGTCACCAGCTCTAGTTTTTTGCCTCAGGGAGAGAGAGCACCATGCGGGATACAAAGTCTCTTCAGTGAAAATAGGCTGAAGTAGCTTTTCCCATCCACAGTACATTTGAAAACCATGCCCTATTAACTAAAGGGAAGGAGCAGCATCAGGACTGCCTTCCCTTTTCTCTTGTTAGTACATCATAAAGCTCAACTTTTACATGCAGTTATTTGCAAAATCTATTCAGTCCTAGTAAGAAACTACAGTCATAACAAGAGCTCTAGTTCACTGGTTACAATACAAAAATAAGTTGCTTCATATAGGCCACAGATAAAAGCACCTTATCTAAGCTAAAATTAACGTTTTCTTAAAATTAGACTCAGTGGGGAATTCCATGACTCGCACCAAGTTCTGCAAATGATACAACAGGCATTCCTCTTCTCTCTTTCATGACAGCAAACACACACCAAGTGGCCAAAGGAAAAGCAATTCTGCACAGCAAAAGTGTTTTGTTCCAAAACATAATACAAAATTATATTATATAAATATAATTCTATATACTATATAGAATATAATTACATATAAAATTATATATAACATATATAAATATATATTATCTAGCATTATAAAATAAAAAAATAAAAATAAATAAAATAAAATATAAAAATAAGTGATTTGTTCCAAAAGATAAAAAATAAGTCTTGTTCCAGTCTGAAGATGCCAGTCAGGCCTCCAGCACAAACTGCTTGCCATCAATATCTGCTGTAGAATTTCCATGACTTGATTTGATGAATACCCTTAAAGATCCTCAGGGCAGTGAGAGGGCACGCTGCAAGTTCACTGTCCTGGACTTCAAGACAGCAGACTCTGGACTCTCCTGAAACCTGCTCAGTAAGGTTCCATGGGATAAAGCCCTAGAGGGCAGGTGGGCCCAAGAATCCTGGCTGATATTTAAAGATCACCTGTTCCAAGATCAGGAGCACTACATCCCAACTAGAAGGAAATGCAGCAGGAGGGCCAGGAGGCCTCCACTGATGGATAGGGACCTGCTAAGAAAACTTAGAGGGGGAAAAAAGCAGCTTATAAAAGGTGGAAGCGAAGACAGGCAGCCTGGGAAGAACACAGGGATATTGTCCAGGTAGCTAGGGATCATGATGGTCAGGAAAGCTAAGGCCCAGTTCGAACTGAGTCTGGCCAGGGATGTCAACAGTAACAAGAAAGGCTTCTGTAGGTATGTTTCTAACAAAAAGAGACCAGGAATAATGTGGGTCCTCTCTGTAAGGAAACAGGAGAACTGGCTACCCAAGATTTGGAGGAGGCAGAGGTTCTTCAATGACTTCTTTGCCTCAGTCTTCACTGGCAAGTGCCCTGACCACACCGCTCAAGTCTTGGAAGACAGATGCAGGGACTGTGAGAATAAAGACCTTAAGCCCACTGTAGGAGAGGATCACACTCAGGATGACCTTAAGAACCTGACTGTACACAAGCCCAAGAGACCTGATGAAATCTATCCACGCGTCCTGAAGGAGCTGGAAAATGGTGTCCCTCAGGAGTCAGTGTTGGGACCGCTCTTGCTCGACATCTTTGTCAGCGACATGGACACCGGGACTGATGCCGCCTCAGCGAGTCTGCCGACGACACTAAGGTGTGTGGTTCGGTTGATACGCTGGAGGGAAGGAATGCCATCCAGAGGGACCTTGACACGCTTGTGAGGTGGGTGGATGCCAAACTCCTGAAGTTTAACTGTGACAAGTGCAGAGTCTTAGGTCCGGGTCAGGGCAATCCCAGGCAAAGCTACAGGCTGGGTAGGGAAGTAATTCAGAGCAGCCCTGCAGAGAAGGACTTGGGGGTGTTGGTCATTAAGAAACTGAACATGAGCCAGCAGCGTGAGCTCACATCCCAGAAAGCCAATCGTATCCTGGGCTGCATCAAAAGGAGCGTGACCAGCAGGCTGAAGGAGGTGATCCTGCCCCTCTATACTCTGCTCTCATAAGCCCTCACTTGGAGTACTGTGTGCAGTTCTGGTGTCCTCAACATAAGAAGGACATGGAGCAGGTCCAGAGGAGGGCCATGAGGATGATAAGGGGGCTGGAGCACCTCCTGTGTGAAGAAAGGCTGAGAAAGTTGGGGCTGTTCAGCCTGGAGAAGAGAAGGCTGCATGGAGACCCCACAGAAGCTTTCCAAGGGGCCTACAAGGATACTGGAGAGGGACTTTTCGTCAGGGACTGTAGCGATAGGACAAGGTATGATGGGTTAAAACTTAGACAAGGGAAGTTCAGGTTAGATATAAGGAAGTCCTTTATACTGTGAGGTGAGGGTGGTGAGGCACTGGAAGAGGCTGCCCAAAGAAATGGTGAATGCCACATCCCTGACAGGGTTCAAGGACAAGCTGGACAGAGCCGTGGGCAACACAGTCTAGTGTAAGGCATCCCTACCCATGGCAGGATGATCTTCAGGACCTTTTCAACCCTAACCATTCTATGAATCTACAATACATATTGCAACAAGTGTTTGAAGCAGCATCTGATATCACAAAGGGTCTAAAGCAGACAACAGTTACACCAGCTTATTAATGTCAAATCTTTACCTTTTAGAGCATTAAGAAGGATTTGCTATAGTACCATGGGAAACTCAAAATCAGAAAGCTGGGGAATAGACCAGGCTGCTTTCTGAGCAGCCTGTATTCTGGAACTGAGTTTTCCCCAGGCTCTCCAGGAAAACCTCATCTTAAAATTTCCCCACAGAAACAGGTAACTAGGCTCAGGAGCTCACAAAAAGGGAAGTTTATGATCAGCTTACTGAGACGGAGGCTTGCAGGTCTCTCTGAAGGGCTTCAGTCCTACTGCTTTGTTGCTGGACCGTGGCTTCCAATCTGGCCTTTTCAATTTCAAGACTTAGAAAGAAATACAGGTTTTATTATAGGAATCCATCAGAGCACCAATTCAGAAAGAACAGCATGAAATAACACAATCAAATCCAAAAATGTCCTTCAAAACAGTGTATCAACTTGCTGTGATACAAGAAGACTGTCCTGCTGTTTTCACACAGTTCCAGAATGTGACAGACAGCTTGCTTCCCTCTGTTCTCTTACCGCTGCACGTGTTCTTCCAGTTGTTTGATAGTAGCATTAGTCCCAGAAGATGTCAACAGAAGGTCCTGCAGTTTTTGGCAAGAAGCTACTGCTTCTCTTTCCTTATTATCCAAGACAGTCTTCAAGTCATGGACACAACACTCAGACTGAAGTTTCTGTTCTTCCAACTCCTGGATCTGTCAAATCACAGCAAGAATACACAGTAGTCAGGCGAGCTTTTATACAGAGGAGTCAGCTGCTCTGCTGTACATGCTGTACAAATAAAAGTACTGCATGTATCTGCACACATCCTCTATGCAAAGAGTACATTCACACCTTCACGTCTACCAGCAGAAGAACAGTGTTGCTTCATCATCTTTTGTTGGCCTCTCCCATCCCTCCGTTGATTTCCTATAGCACAGTTCAAAGTACCAACACTGCCTCTCCTGCCCTTTTGGTGACTTGTGACACTCTTTCTATCCACTTGCTTGCTCCATTGAAAAGGTGAATTAAAAAGTTTATACTTCTTCTAAAGTGTCTTCAAGACTCCCTCTTAAGGGGATTTGATTACATTTTCAGAAATAACACTGCAAAATATGTTCTCTGACTCAGAAAGAAATTTACAATTCACTTTCAAGAAGGCCACTTAATGATGGGAAATCCTTAAGCAGGGTGAAAGTAGGCTATGGGAGGGAAATGGATAAATGCAGAGTAAGTTACAAAAGTATTCAGAATTGGTACATCACCTGGTGGTGGGAGTAGGGGGTAAACACAGAAATCATAAAAAAAACCAAATGTAGGAGGCCAGTATTTCTACTCTTCTCCAGATATCAGACATGCTTGGCCAAACCAAATGCAACACACCAGTTTATTCTGCAAAGCACATTAGCAAATACAAACACCTTTGTCTAAGTAAGGACATAGTGTCTTCATGTCAAAAGACATGGGCACCAAGCTCATAAAACAGTGCAATTCATTCAGACATCATTGAATTCATCCTGTTCATGTCTTTTTCCTAGGGTTTTAGGACAACATTCATTCCTACTTTCATCAGGCACTCTCAGATTTTTTCATATAGTTACAGACATTATGTACCTTAGTGTTAGCCTTTTCCAGTTCCTTTTGCAAGCGCAGCTTGTCCTCCTCCAGGTCACAGCGGTAGCGTGTAGTAACTTCAAGTGAAGCTTCTGACATAGACTGCTTTTTAAGAGCATCGGCAAGCTCCTGCTGCAGTTGTCTGACCACTCCCTAATGAAACAGTTTAATGAGCATGATGAAAGTTTTAAGAACATTAAATAAACCTTTAACTTATTATATAATTAAATCTGGTTTAGGATTGAATTCAAAAGGTATGAAATTTTGCCTGCAACCAGCAAGCATCTGTACAGATGACAACCTCTCTTCACTTCTCAGCTGAGCACCTACAAGCTATTAGCAGCTGTTCATGAGGGCTTGTTTCCCAAAACATAAAAAAGGCTCAGGTATTATTCTTCTCTGAAAAACATACAACTGCGATCATGTGTTTTTCTAACAATATCCAAAGAAATCTATTGTAAGAGACACAATTTGACTGCAAATATTAACCAAGTGACCAAAGGCAGGGCTGTGCATTAGATCCCTTTTGTCTATTCCTCTATTATAGAAATATAATTAAAAAGATATATGTGAAAGCTCTTTTCAGGTATGCTTTAAGTATGTGCTGAATCACATTCTTCTGCAGCCTTCTTACCACCTTCATTTCAGACTACCGAGTTTATATCGACATTAGATTGATGAAAATCTGGATAGTTCATACGTGTATATCAAGTATCTTCAAAATGAATCTGTTATTTTGGTAAGAATATAAAGCAATTCACAGATTAGTATGACCAACAGTACTTCTGGAGTTATTCCCTCCCCCTGTGGCAATTGACAAATAAACAACAAGGTGGTTATCTGAAATCCTGGATTTGCTATGAAGAAGGAAATGTAATTTTAAATCAGTATTCAAGCTATTAAGGGAGGCAAATCTTACACCAGGGAGTAGAAATATTAAATGTGATTAGTTCTTATCTTTCAGAAAGTAAAAGATTAAACAAAATGGGTAAGGCAGCTTTTAAATCGCTGCTCTACCTGGAATTGGTAGAATATTTTAACAATAGAGAAGAGAGTACCTTCTCGTAAGAACATACATAACAACGCATTCTCCCACTGCCTACAGCTTTTTCAGCTATCTGTAACTCACTCCTACTTCTGCCTTTATTCTCTTCCACTCTTTTTCCCTTACCAAAGCCACCTACATGCAGTAATAGGAGCAACACTTGGTTCATGTGTGTTTGAGCAACGTAAAATGATGCTAGTGCTCTGCACAGGAGCATGTTTCATACTCATGTACTGTGTGAATTTGTAGAATGACAGTTTAACTGATGTCCTAATGAGTATTCTGTCCAGTGAATTAGTCTTTCGTGGAGCCATAAAGAAGGAACGCATTTAAATATGGCTACACATCATAAAACAGAGAAAAGAAAGCTTAGGTTACTGTCTGAAATTACCTTCTTGATGACCAGGCAGGCCCCTCAGAACCCCAACACACATACACAAATAAGCACCTGGACAGTACTAACTAATACTCTTCAATTTTGGTAGCAACATCTGGAGAAGTCATTTTTTTTTTCCTCTGTAGAAGCTTAAAATAAATCCATCCCCATCACTTCACTTGTCTGCATCTTCATTTCTCAACCCTCGCAAATTGGATAGCTCTTTGTGTCATTAATGCAAGACATAAAAATCAAACACAAAATCATTCTATAGGGCATAAAAGAGACTAATGAAAGAGTTAAAAAAAATTGTAGAGAAGAATCACTTTTCTTGGTAAAGCTTAGACTTTTTTTCTATTCTCTGCTCAGATGTGAGCAGTAATATCCTATTTGCTAAAACCTTCCACAGTTCTAAGTGGAAGATGATAAACTGGAACAGATCACCATTATTTGGTCCCATGCATATAACTTACACCTGGTACATTTTAGGAAACTAAAACAGCTTCAAGAGCTAAGAGACTTTAAATTGTTCTTTCTAAGTATACACTTTACCTCTCTTTCTGCTTTCTCAGTCTCGTATTTAAAGACTTGTTCTCTTAAATCAGTACACTTGGCATTCAGTTCCTTATTTCTCTCTTCCACTAGGCGAACTTGCTTTTCAGTATCAGCTCTGAGTGTATTGAAAATATCATTAAACCGATCCTGTACATCATTCACTATTTTTTCTTTGATGATCCCCTTGTTCTGCATATCTTCCAGTTGCTGACGGAGTAAAAGGTTTTCACTCTGAAGCTGGACCAGTCGCTCCTGCATGGATTCCTGCTTTATTATACATTTGCTTACTTGATCTTTCTCAAGTTGTCGAGCATGATCACATTCCTTTACCTGACACTGGGCTTGACTTAATTCTTTTTGTGTCATTTCCAAAAGCAGTGTTTTTTCTCTGAATGTTTGTTTCAACTGGTGAAGCTCATTTTCTAGACTATTAGCTTTGCTTTCGGCTTTACTCAGCTGCTGAGACAAGCTCTTATTGGTTTCTCGTACATCAGAGAGGTCATGATGGAGCTTGTCTTGCAAGCGAAGCCATTCATCACGTTCTCTCTGAAATGTTCGTTCTACATCAGATTTTGATGACTGATGACGTTCAAGTTCTTGAGCAGCAGTGTTCAGACGGGAACGTAATGATTCAATTTCTGTCTCTAGTCTGTCTTTGCTTTCTTTTGTCTGCTCAAGTTTGGAAGATAGCACTGCAGATTCTGTCTTTAATAAGTTCAGCTGTCCATTGTACTGAAAAACTGTTTGTGTTAAGGCTTCTTCATTTAGTTTCAGTTCCTTTTTGAGATCCTCACATTTTTCTTTCAAGGCTTCATTTTCCTCTAAATATTTTCTTTCTTCCTCCTGCTGCCTAAGTCTTACTTGGTCAAGTTCCAGTCTTAGCATACCAATCTCATCTTGTAGCAACTGATTTTTGTACAACAGATCCTTTTCTCTCTCAGTGTCGGACTCCTGAATGCCGGGGAACATGAACAAATAACCAATTGGGAAATAAATCTACAAAACCACTTCAGCATTAAACTGTGTTTAACATTTCTAATACTGAAGCATGACTTCAAAGATGAGAGTGAAATCTCAGTTAATACATAAGCTATTCTATGAACCCATGCACGTGTACAATGTACGCACACAATGGAAGTGTAACATGCCCCTAAACGAACATCCTAAATATACAATACCTTTTTTTGCTTCTTAAGCCAGCAACCAAACAATAAAATTTATTAGAATATCTCATAGAATCACAGAATAGTTAGGGTTGGTAAGGACCTTAAGATCACATAGTTCCAACCCCCCTGCCAGGGACAGGGACACCTCACAAGTATACCCCAAGCATAAAGCTTTAAAAATTCCAATACTTTCTTATATGTGCATGTCTTTAAAATATTTGTTTTAAGGTTAATTTAGCTGTGTTACAAATCTGACAAAAACAAGGGTAAAAAAGGTATTTTCCTTCTCAACTGTCTTCTTAACACCTACAGGTTTGTATTACTGAAACTTAGCTATACGAATCAATCATCCCTGGAACACACTAATCTTGTATATTTCCTCTTTATTATATATATTTAACTTTCTTCCACATATTCACCCTACATCTATTGGCCAGCACAGCCAAGAAGAAATAATTCTTCCAAGCACTGCACATTTGTAGTAAGTTCAGTAAACTCTTTTCAAGATTTTTTTTTTGTTTTCTTTTTTTAAATGCAGCTTTCATGGATGCTTTTCCCTCCTCTAATTATTCTAACTTCTACAGAGAGTTTAATTCATCGCTGATATTCACAGAATCATTAGGGTTGGAAGGGACCTGTGGAGATCACCTAGTCCACCACTCCTGCCGAGGCAGGGCCACCTAGAGCAGGTTACACAGGAATGCATCCAGGTGGGTACCGAGTATTTGCAGAGAAGGAGACTCCACAACCTCCATGGGCAGCCTGTTCAGTGCTCTACCCACAGAAAGAAGTTTTTCCCCATGTTGAGGTGATATTTCTTGTGTTTCAGTTTATGGCCACTGCTCTCTGTCCTGTCACTGGGCAACACTGAAAAGCCTACATATTCCTTCACTGAATTTTAGAATGTGGAGATCAAAAAGAAAGTCATGCTTGAAGTCAGTCAGTTTGATAATGGAGTAAGTAAAAACAAGTAGTGACAACACAAAGAGTGTCAAAACAGCTTTCTTCCTGGTCAACCTTAATGCAGATAGCTAGGTGTTTTAACTGCTAGAATCCTTAAAAACTAATGAAAAAATGTCTATGAAATGTAAAATAACAAATAGCGTCTCCTATTGGTTTCCTACTTGAACACGCAACTGAGGTGCATACAGGACTGATGCTGGTTCCCAGAGCTTTTAAAGCTATAAGGGAAAACAAAAGAGGTATTTACACAGTTGGCTTACACTGGAAAACTGTAAATAATCCATTAAGAAGAAGAAAATGTTATATAAGATTTTTCATAACTTTAGAACAAACATGGTGAAATTTAATTAATCAGAAAAAAAAAAAAATTGTTTACCTCTGAATTTTTTTCTAGAGTTCTTCTTGCTTCTTCTTCTAGTTCCTTTTGCCTCCAAAGGTGATTGTTCAAAATTCCTTCTTGCAGGGCTCTGGCACTCTTTTCCCGAGAGAGCTGTTTCTGTGTTTCATCACGCTCTTCTTCAACCTACAGGAATACAATTAAACTGCCTGCATCCTGAGAAAAATCAGAGCTAGAAATATCTTCCCATTTTCCTTTGTATTCTTGCAAATATTTTTGTTTCCTCAGTTATGATAAGCTGTTTATAAAAAATAAATCTTAAATTTCTTCTGAAAAATTAAGAAATACAGAATATGTTTTAGCAATTTAGAAAAATAACTCAGTCAGGCTTTGCCTGAAATGCAAAGGAAACCTAAATTTTGAAAAAGGAGAAAATGAATCATTAAATGGAATTACGAACTTGCAAAGAAAAAAAAATTCAAGAACAGACAAAAAAAAAATTAACAGACTACTTGTGAGCCAACGTGTTCTCAGCTGTCCTCAAAATTTGGCAAGTTACCTAATGCCTCTTCTATGAACAACAAAGTACCACCTTCTTTAGGCATACTCAAATACAGTGACAATCAAAAAGGAGCAGAAAATAAGTGTTTACTCATCGTTTAACATACCTGTCTCAAGAGCTTTCTCAGTGTTACTACCTCCATTTCTAAATTCTTCGAGTGTAATTCAAGTTGCTGTTTTTCCTCCATCTCTTTACAATATTGATCATTTTTCCTTCGGAGTTCTTCTCTTGTTTTCTCATACGATGTCTCTAATTTGAGCATCTTTTCCTCTTCTTGTTTCAAAGTACATCTGGAATTAACAGAACATTTGAGAAACTAAAGCACTGATGTAAAAAGTAGATATTCCACATGATGAACTTGCAGAGACAACTCACGCCCCAAAATTATTAAATCTTTTCAGATTTCCTACATTCTTTTCCAATTTCCTATTTTCACTGTAATTTTTAACTTTTTAAGGAATTCCAACTTCATTCCATGACCCATGATATCATTGTACAAGACACCTAAATAAATCACTGAGAGGTATGTCAGTAATAAAACGAAGCCTAGGGACAAATGTGGGCCCTCTCTGGAAGGCAACAGGAGACCTCACTACCTGGGATCTGAAAAAAGCCAAGGTACTCAAGGATGTTTTTTGCCTTGGTCCTCCCCTGCAATTGCTCCAGCCACATCACACAAGTGGCAAAAGGCAGGGACTGGGAGAATGAAGAACTGCCTGCTACAGGAGAAAATCAGATTTGAGACCATCTAAGGAACCTCAAGTTGCATAAGTTCATGGGACCTGATGAGATTCATCTGCAGGTCCCAAGAGAACCAGCAGATGAAGTGACTAAGACATTATCCATCACATGTGAGTTGGGGTGGTAGTCCGGCAAAGCTCACACTGACTGGAACGGGGGAAACATCACTCCCATTTTTAAAAGGGGAAAAACAGAAGACCCAAGGAACTACAGACCAGTCAGTCTCACCTTGGCAAGATCATGGAGCAGATCTTCCTGGAAACTACGCTAACATGGACAATAAGGAGGTGACTGGTGACAGCCAACAAGGCTTCATGATGGGGAAACTGGGCCTGACAAATTTGGTGGCCTTCTAAGATGGGGTCATGGCATTGGTGGATAAGGAAAAAGTGACTGACTTCATCTACCTGGACTTGCGCAAAGCATTTGACACTGTCCCACATTACATTCTAGGCTCTAAACTGGAGAGATGGATTTGACAGATGACCACTCTGAGGAAAAGGAACTGGCTGGATGGTTGCACCCAAACTGTTGCAGTCAGCAGAGACCAGTGACGAGTGGTGCTCCTCAGGGGTGGGTATTGGGACTGGTGCTGTTTAACATCTTTGTTGATAGCATGGACAGTGGAATTGAATGCACCCTCAACAAGCCTGCTGATGACACCAAGCTGTGTGGTGCAGCTGAAACACTGGAGGTAAGGGATGCATCTAAAGGGATCTTGAAGGCTCAAGAGGTGGGCCTGTGCAAACCTCACTAAGTTTAACATGGCTAAGTGCAAGGTCCTGCACCTGGTTGGGAGAATCCAAAGCACAAACACAGGCTGGGCAGAGACTCCATTGAGACAGCCAGGGCATGCTCAGCAAGCTCCCCAGCAAGGCCATCCTACGATACATCATAAACAGAGGATATTTCTTCCCAAGTGCAGAGCTTTGCATATATCCTTGCTGAATTTCATATGGTGCCTGCTGGCCACTCCTGTCTGAAGTGATGTGAACAGTGAGTAAAAACTTCACACCATACATGTCTACCTCAGGAAAATGGGGCAAGGCAATCCCAAATTTGACCTAATAAATAAACAAGCAAGCACACAAATGCTCTCAAATGTGATCAGAGTTGCACTACGTAGAGTTACTAGAATTCCTAATATTATACACCAGCAGTAGCTACAAAGAAAGAATAAGAAAAAACACATCTGAAATCTGTCTGAGAAATTTCATTTTCCCCATGCATACTCTCTTGTTCTCTTCTCTTGCTATTAAAAAAAAATAAAAGTTAAAACAATATCTAGGCATTTCCTTCCCCCAACATTATGTCCCTTATAGTATAACTTGCCCATGGGATTCAAAAACCCCAATTACAAAAGACTAGATGTTTCTCATCCTATTGCCTGCACCACCGACATCTTCTGGAACATGTGCACTGACAACACTTTAACAGAATGCAAGGTTACATACTTAAGGCTATGGATATCACTTTTCCATTCCACTTCCTGGTGAGCCAATATGGATTTCAAATCTCGAGTCTCCTCCACTATTAATTTTGACTCTTTGTTTTCCAATTTCCGTACTTCTCTCCAGACAGCTTTGTACCGATTTTTTTCATGTTTTATTTTCTGCTCATACTGAAGTAGTATGTTTTGAATTTTCAACAAAATAGAAGAACCTGTTTTGCGATAGAAGAGACACAAAACTAAACAAATGCACAAGTACTTGCCAATGTATATATTATTTAATGATTTCTCTATTGAGTGTAGGGAACAAGGTTTTGGTAGTGGGAAGACTGCAAGCAGTGGAGAAGTCTCTATGAGAAGAGGCCAGGGGCTACCCCTTGCCAGACAGAGCTGGTTCCAACGCACCCACTACAGAGCACATCTGAGCCTCTCAGCCATGCTGGTGGCACCTAAGGGAAAACACATTTAGGAAAGGACAAAACCACCACACAGAGGAGAAGGAGAAAAGTATGTGAAAAGCAGCCCTGTGAACAGCCAGTACAGTGAAGGAGGGGAAGAAGGTGCTCCAGATACCAGAGCAGAGATTCCCCTGCAGCCCATGGCAACACAGTGGTGGAGTAGGTACTTCTCTGCAGCCCTTGGAGAAGATGATGCTGGAACAGATACCCACAATGCAGCACTGTGGAAGACACTATGCCAGAGCAGGTAAACACTCCCTCAAGGACCTGTGGCCCATGGAGAGCACAGGCTGGAGCAGATTTTCCCTGCTGGAAGGAGACACTACAGCAGGTATCCTGGGTTCAGCTGTAACGGTTATTTTTCTCCTTCCTAGTAGCTGGTGCACTGCTGCGTTTTTGCCTGTAGTCTGAGAACAGTGCTGATAACACTGATGGTTTTAGTTATTGCTAAGTAATGCTTACTCTGATCAAGGAATTTTCAGTCTCCCCAGTGAGGAGGGACACAAGAAGCTGTGAGGGAGCAGAGACAGGACACCTGACCCAAACTAGCCAAATGGGTATTCCATGCCACAGCACGTCATGCCCAGTATATAAACTGCAGGGAGTTACCCAGAAGGCCAAATCACTGCTTTGGTCAGGCTGGGTATTGACTGGTGGGTGGTGAGCAATTGTATTGTGCATCACTCATGCTTACTGTTTTTTCCTTTTCCCCTTTTAGTTTTATATCTCTCCCCTTGTTATTTCCCTTATCGTTATTAAGATTAGTGGTAGTAGTATTAATGGGTTGTATGGTAGTTAGTTACTGGGCTGCTCTCATCTCAGCATTTACATTCCTTTGATTCTCCTCCATCCTTCCGGGAGTGGGGGAGGAATGAAGGAGGGTGTGAGCAAATGGCTGCATGGTTTTGAGTTACTAGCTGGGCTTATTCCATGATAGCCCCACTCCAACTCCAGTGACAGATACTACAACCACTCCAACCACAGGGGTAGAAAATGCAGCTAAACCAAAGGACTAATCCATGCCAATATCAGTTGCCCCTATAAACGAGAGGAAAAGCAAAAGAGAGGCAGAAAGAGGAACTCATGCAGTGAAAAAAGACGAAGACCCAATGCGCGTACTAGAGTGGAGGACATCTGAACAAGAGTTATTAAGAGTTATTAATACTAATACAGGAATCTGAGGAAGAGGAAGAAGAGGTAACTTCTCGATCCTGCACCTTGACCGAGCTGTGGAATATGTGAAAAGGTTTCAGTCATCTGAAGTACATCATCACCTGGTTGCTCTCATGCTGGGACAATGGGGTCGACGGTCATGAACTAGAGGTAGGGAAGCCAAGCTGGGATCACTTGCTAGGAAGGGGGAACTGACAAAGCGATTGCAAAAGAGAAATGAGCCCTCAGCCTCTGGAGGCAGCTTTCGGCAGCTGTGACGGAAAGCTATCCCTACAAGGACAGTGTTATGTGTCACTCAGGCAAGTGGATCACGATCGAGAGAGGCATCCAGTACCTGAGGCAATCAGTCATTCCAGAGATGAACTGTCATAGACCAGATGGCAGAAATACACCCATAAATCCAGATGAAGTCAGATGTATACGACTCATCTGGCAGAAACTTATGTGAAGTGCACCATCACCATCTGCCCAGTCACTGGCATGAGTGATCTGGTATGAAGCAGCACCACCAACAGTGGATGAAATGAGTCACCAAGTCCGACAGTTCGAAGACAATCTCATCCCTTCCATCATTTCAGCTGTGGAAAAACTGTCTCAGGAAGGCAAACAATTGAAAGATGATCTATATATAGCTTCCCATAGGTATTGATCTCAAACTTTTTCAACCTATTTTGTCCTGTTGAGGAGGCGCAGTGACAGCAGGTTAACTCTCACCTAATAAAATTTTAGCATTGTTTTAGAGACATAGTGATGCTTACATTTATATAATGCTATGTATATATATGCAAGCATCTTATGACAGTTCTCAGCAACCCAGCCGCAGTCCAGGAGGTTCCTCCAGTGTATGGAGGATAACTTCCTCATGCAAATGGTGGACGAGCCAACCAGGAGAGGAGCGCTGCTGGATCTCATCCTCACTTACAAGGAGGGTCTGGTCAAAGCAGTGAAGGTTGAGGGCTGCCTTGGTTGCAGCGACCACGAGATGGTGGAATTCAGGATCTTGTGTGGTAGGACCAGTAGAATAGCAAGTAGAATTGCAACCCTGGACTTTAGCAGGGCAAACTTTGGCCTTTTCAAGCAATTGCTAGGGGAAATCCCATGGACTAGGCTGCTTGAAGGTAAAGGGGCCCAAGATAGTTGGTTGGCATTCAAGGACTGCTTTTTCCGAGCTCAAGATCAGAGCATCCCGACACGTAGGAAGTCAAGGAAGAGGGCCAGGAGACCTGCGTGGCTAAATAGAGAATTGCTGGGTATGCTAAAGTGGAAGAGGAGAGTTTACAGGTCATGGAAGGAGAGGCTGGCCACTTCGGAGGAATATAAGGCTACTGCTAGAGGATGTAGGAAGGCAGCTAGGATGACTAAGGCCTCCTTGGAATTAAAGCTGGCGAAAGGGGTCAAGGACAGCAGAAAGAGCTTTTTCAAATACATGGCAGATAAAACTAACACCAGAGGCAATGTAGGCCCACTGATGAACAGGATGGGTGCCCTGGTGACAGAAGATACAGAGATGGCAGTTACTGAATGCCTTCCTTGTCTCTGTCTACTCTGCCGGAGACAGTCCTGAAGAGTCCTGTACCTCTGAGACCTCAGATGAAGTCAGGTCAACGGAGAGGTTTGCCTTAGTCAATGAGGAATGGGTTAAGAGACCAGTTGAGCAATCTGGGCATCCATAAATCGATGGGTCCAGATGGGATGCACCTGCGGGTGCTGAGGGAACTGGCGGAGGTCATTGCTAGACCACTCTCCATCATCTTTACCAAGTCTTGGGAAACGGGAGAGGTGCCTGAGGACTGGAGGAAAGCAAATGTCACTCCTGTCTTCAAAAAGGGCAAGAAGGAGGACCCGGGTAACTATAGACCAGTCAGCCTCACCTCCATCCCTGGGAAAGTGATGGAACACCTTATCCTTGGTGCCATCTTAAGGCATATCAAGGATAAGAGGGTTATGAGGGGCAGTCAACATGGCTTCACCAAGGGGAAGTCATGCTTGACCAATCTCGTAGCCTTTTATGAGGAAATAACACAGTGGATGGATGATGGCAGAGCAGTGGATGTGGTCTACCTTGACTTCAGCAAAGCGTTTGACACGGTCTCCCACAGCATCCTCACAGCTAAATTGAGGAAGTGTGGTCTGGATGATCAGGTAGTGAGGTGGACTGTGAACTGGCTGAAGGAGAGAAGCCAGAGAGTTGTAGTCTATGGGGCGGAGTCTAGTTGGAGGCCTGTATCTAGTGGAGTGCCTCAAGGGTCAGTACTGGGACCAGTATTATTTAATATATTCATTAATGATTTAGATGAGGGAATTGAGTGTACTATCAGCAAGTTTGCTGATGACACTAAGCTGGGAGGAGTGGCCGACACGCCAGAAGGCTGTGCTGCCATCCAGAGGGACCTGGACAGGCTGGAGAGCTGGGCGGGGAATAACTTGATGAAATATAACAAGGGAAAGTGTAGAGTCCTGCATCTGGGCAGGAACAACCCCAGGTTCCAGTATAGGTTGGGGAACGACCTGTTAGAGAGCAGTGTAGGGGAGAGGGACCTGGGGGTCCTAGTGGACGACAGGGTGACCATGAGCCGACACTGTGCCCTTGTGGCCAAGAAGGCCAATGGCATCCTGGGGTGTATTAGAAGGGGGGTGGTTAGTAGGTCGAGAGAGGTCCTCCTTCCCCTCTACTCGGCCATGGTGAGACCTCATCTGGAATATTGTGTCCAGTTCTGGGCCTCTCAGTTCAAGAAGGACAAGGACCTGCTGGAGAGAGTCCAGCGCAGGGCAACTAAGATGATTAAGGGAGTGGAGCATCTCCCTTATGAGGAAAGACTGAGGGAGCTGGGTCTCTATAGTTTGGAGAAGAGGAGATTGAGGGGTGACCTTACTAGTGTATATAAATATATAAAGGGGGAGTGTCACGAGGATGGAGCCAGGCTCTTCTCAGTGGCAAACAATGACAGGACAAGGGGCAATGGGTACAAACTGGAACATAAGAGATTCCACTTAAACTTGAGAAGAAACTTCACAGTGAGGGTGACGGAACACTGGAACAGGCTGCCCAGGGAGGTTGTGGAGTCTCCTTCTCTGGAGACATTCAAAACCCGCCTGGACACGTTCCTGTGTAAACTTATGTAGGTATTCCTGTTCCGGCAGGGGGATTGGACTAGATGATCTTTTGAGGATCCTTCCAATCTCTAGCATACTGTGATACTGTGATTATAAATACATATTTAAGCAAAACCAGTATTTTGCTGCAATATTTGACATAAACTATTGAGGAGTGTGCTGGTTTGGGCTGGGATAGTATTAATTTTCTTCATAGTAGCTAGCACTGGGGCTAAGTTTTGGATTTGTGCTGAAAACACTACTGACAATATAAGGATGCTTTTGTTATTGCTGAGCAGTGCTTACAGAGTCAAGGCCTTTTCTGGTCCTCACACCACCCACACCAGCAAGCAGGCTGGGGGTGCACAAGGTGCTGGGGAGGAACACAGCCAGGACAACTGACCCCAACTGACCGAAGGGATATTCCACACCATATGATGTCATGCTCAGCATGTAAAGTTGGGGGAAGAAGGAAGGAAGGGGGATGTTCAACCTCAACACGTTTGTGAGGTGGGCTGATGCCAACCTCATGAAGTTTAACCATGCCAAGTGCAAGGTCCTACACCTGGGTCGAAGCAATCCCAGGCACAGCTACCAGTTGGGCAAAGAGATTCAGAGCAGCCCTGCGGGGGAGGACCTGGGGGTGCTGGTCGATGTGAAAATGAACATGAGCCAGTTTCAGTGTGTGCTCGCAGCCCACAAAGCCAACCGTATCCTGGGCTGCATCCAAAGCAGCGTGACCAGCAGGTCGAAGGAGATGATACTACCCCTCTACTCTGCTCTTGTGAGACCTCACCTGGAGTATTGTGTGCAGTTCTGGTGTCCTCAACATAAAAAGGACATGGAACTGTTGGAACAAGTCCAGAGGAGGGCCACGAGGATGATCAGGGGACTGGAGCACCTCTCGTATGAAGATAGGCTGAGAAAGTTGGTGCTGTTCAGCCTGGAGAAGAGAAGGCTTCGTGGAGACCTCATAGCAGCCTTCCAGTATCTGAAGGGGGCCTATAGGGATGTTGGGGAGTGACTCTTCATGAGGGACTGCAGTGACAGGACAAGGGGTAATGAGTTCAAACTTAAAGAGGGGAAGTTTAGATTGGATATAAGGAGGAAATTCTTTCCTGTTAGGGTGGTGAGGCACTGGAGTAGGTTGCCCAGGGAGGTTGTGAATACTCCATCCCTGGCAGTGTTCAAGACCAGGTTGGACAAAGCCTTGGGTGAGACGGTTTCATGTGAGGTGTCCCTGCCGATGGCAGGGGGTTTGGAACTAGATGATCTTAAGGTCCTTTCCAACCCTAGCTATTCTATGTTTGAAGTGATGGTGTTTGTGTTCTCAAGTAATCGTTGCATGTGATGGAGCCCTGCTGTCCTGGAAGTGGTTGAACACTTGCCTGCAATAGGTAGTGGTGAAATAACTCCTTGTTTTGCTTTGCTTGTTTGCTTATTAAACTGTCTTTATCTCAAACTCATGAGTCTTCTCATTTTCACTCTTCTGATTCTGCTCCTCATCCCACCTGAGAAAAGTGATCAAGTGGCTCCGTGGTGCTTAACTGCCAGCTGGCGTTAAACCACAAGAGGATATAAGGAGTAAAAAGGTGATCTTAGTAACTTTTGATGACTGCCTTAAAAAAAGCTGAACCGTACTTTGCAAGAATCTGCTCCTTAAGCTCTGACTAGACTGAGAATCAGTGATAAAGTCAAGATGTCTGTTGACATTATAGACAGACATTTAAGGCTAGGTGACATAATTTCACATTTTTTGAGGGGGAACTCTAAAGAATATTAAATAGAAATATAAAAACAAAATACCTAGGAATGCAAAGAAATCATGCTTTAAAAGAGGAACAGCTGAAGACAAAGTGACTCGAAAACATACCTGTAGGATCCACACTGAGCTGTTCTAACAGCAACATAGCCTCTTCGTAGGCTGAAGTTGGCAATTCAGCATCCTCTGAAGTTGTGTCGGATGAGCGAGTTAAATCAAGGTCATCAGTTACATCCATTTCTATGCTGACCTACAAACAATACAGCATTTTCTGTAAACAAATACATAGTATCACAGATCATTACATATGCATGATTGATTCATTCTCTCATTCACAGCCCATAGATTTGGTTCAAATATGACAAAACCTCATACTAGCAGCAATTTGTGCAACTGGTTGATCACTATGTAACCGTTCTTCCTATTTAAGTGATTAAAAGCTGATGCAAACTATTTATCAAGAAACTAATTTTACAGTACCTTGTTCTTTTCAAACCCTGTTCTGGCTGCAGGTCTGGAAAACAGAAACATACTTGAGTACTGAAAGGCTTATTACAAACAATTATCTGAAGTTGCTCTGAAAACTTTCATGTAAGAATTTTATTAGATTTAGTTGAAGACTGAAAAAAATTGTGTACTATTATGTCTATTGGAAGGCTATTTTCTTTACAAGATATTAAGCAAACAGTTGACATAACTGTTCTCTGCACTTCACTCAAACTGATAGGAATCTTACAGCTAGACGTGGGTTTAACACTGGGGGTTTAGCTCTCTTCAGTATTGAAAATCCTTCTCTTACAGGTCAAAGAACCTACAGGTCTTGGATTCTCTAGTGTACTAGGTCTGGCTGAGATGGAATCAATTTTCTTCACAGCAGCCCACACAGAGCTGTGTGTCAGATTCTGATCAAAACAGTGTTGATAACATACCAATATTTTAGCTACTGCTGAACAGTGGCTTGTACAGTGTCAACACCTTCTGTTTCTTGCTTTAATGCCCACACAAATAAGCTTGGGGTGGGCAAGAAGTCAGGAAGGGACACAGCAGGGGCTAAAAAACCCCCCCAAAAAATAAATAAAAAAAAAAAGGCCAGAAAACAGAAAAAAAAAACCCAAAACTGAGATGCCTGCAGTGAAGGAGTAATTCTGCTCATTTATAAATCTCTCTTCTCCCTTTTTAAAATAATAATTAAAAAATATATATGTATTTACACAGGGCACATGCTCAGGTAATTATTCAGAATTTGTGCATATCTGACTGTATTAACTTGGCTAGTATGTTCAAAGCACTCTAAGCCAAAAGAAAAAAAAAGTGCTTTAGAACACAAAGGGCATTCAGGTGGTATTGTCCCATGAAGAACAATCAATACAGGCATCAGGTTTACAAAAAGTTTTAGCTTTCAGGTCAATTTTTATCATTAAGTAAAGTTTCTTTATAACATTCCTTATATTCAGCACCTTCCTTCATCTTGAGATGCCTCACTGGAAGTGCTGTCATCCAGTACTTGAAAATTATTTCCACTGGAAGAGCTCAACTGCTGATTAGCCGCCTTCTTCAAAGTCCACCTTTTGTTTTTCTTTGCAACTTCTGCTTTTAGAGCAAGTTTTCTATATTAAATGGAAATGGAAAAACAATCACTAATTGAGTAACATAGTCAAATTATGTTCAGAAACAACTGACCTAACTCCAAAGGTGACAGAGGATACAAGTATTGAAAAAACCTCCTGCTAGATTCAGGTAAGCATATCTAACATCCTCTAGGGAGCATAATCCTTTGAAAGACAAACAGGAAAAAAAGCTCCTGCTCTGGTTTACATAAAAACATCTCCCTTCTTCAGACTTTTCAGATTGGTTTGGTAATATCTTTTCCCTTTTCCTGACAAAGAGCATTCGAAGTTAATGAAAACACTAACTGCATGAAGATAACTAAAATCACCTAGAAAAGGGAGAAAGCAAAGTAAACTACAAGTTCCTACTTTTCTTTTCTGGATAGACATTTCCTATAAAAATTAGTCTTTTTTTCCAGTCTTCAACTTTGGTTTTGAAGACACATTTTGCCTCAGTACTGACAAGGAAATCCACAGGATTTATTTTTTTTTTAAGTAGGCAATAAAGCTGAACCTGTGTTACAAGCTTCAGTTTTTTCTAATTTTTTTTCCTCTAGACGTTTTAGAAGCAGTGGCCTACTCAGTATGGCTTTCAGCACTGACAAACTACTTCAGCTACTACAGTATCAGAAAATCTTAAAGATCCTTAAGTAGTACTACAAATAAGTTTACCCTTTCATTGGCATTTTACTCAGTTTTGACCTCTTCTCAGGTGAAAAATTCTTTTTGTCCTTTTCTTCTATAGCACTTTCATTCTCCGTTTTCAAACACTCATTCTTCCTTACAGCAAGCTTCTGTTTCCTTTGCTGATCAGCAGTGTTGCATGGTGGTGTATTTAATTTATCAGGGTCATCTTGTTTTGCCATCACCTGCATTTTTAAACATCTTTCTTTGCTTTTGTCTTTCTCAACCTACAAAACCACATTTCTATATTTCTTAGTTTTTCTAGAAGAGAAACGCAATATCCAAGAGAGATTCAGGGTTTACCTCTAAAATAATGTAAAATGAAAAATGAAATTTTTAATTCATACAGAGAAGTATTCATAACAGAAGCATTGTCAAAAAATTACACTACAGAGTATATTAAGTCATTAAAAGAGCTTTGAATTCAGTCACGATTAAAGATATAACAAGAACACAGCCTAAAAGCAAACAGCAGTGTGCATCAAAACATAACAAAATAAAAACATTACAGATGGATAAAGAGTCTGAATGACTGCAGAATGTTAGTTGTAAAAGCACAGAGGAGAATCAATTGCAAGTGTGCTGGGCTACTGCTTCTTTAGTGGAGGCTGAGGGAGGATCCCAAACCCACAAGCAGAAATGGTTTCACAGCAAACAGGAATTTTAGTGAAGGACAATGATAACACACCATGCAGAAATCACAAAAAATGAATAGATTAGTCAAGACCCTGTTCAGAAGCTATTTTCATTCTCTGATTCAGAATCAGAACTGCTGTAACTCTGTGCATTTCTTTTCACACTAACGAATAACAACTCACACTGGAACTGAGTGCCACCTTCTGTTAAAATGGAACAATAATGTAGTCTGTGCTTTCCAAAAATGGGGAGGACAACTCTTCACTGCTCTATTAATTGTTAAGTAATGTATTTCCATTAAAACAAAAAACAATCAGCACAAAGCATCTTCCCTTAATGATTAATAGCTAAAGTGAACAGGACCATTGATATGGAGAAAGACTAAAGAATAAGGGGTAGCAGGTGAACTTCTACCTCTTTTTGCAGCTCTGCCTTCTCTTTCTCCAAAGCCAGGAATGCTATTTGCAGCATTCCTATCTTACTCTTAAATCTTTGCATATCTTGTTTTAGTTGCTCATCAAGATTCCTTTTCAGCCTGCCACATGACTGCTGAGCATTTGCGAAAGGACTTTCAATTCCTGTTTCTCCTATATTATTATTGTCAAGAAGGCAGTCACTGGAAAGATCTTCATTAAATCCAGAGACTTTTTCAAGCTTCCTTTCTGTTGCAAAAAGTGCATCTTCATCACTTATAGAAACAGGTCTTATTTTAGGAAGAGAATTAGAAACAACATCCAAAATATCTGTTTTTAAGCTGGGTCTCAGGGAGCATTCAGGATCTCCCTCTACTTTCCTACTAGTTCCATTTTCTTTCTCTTCCATTTTCATTGTAGGCACTTTCTTTTCCTCTTCTGTTGCCACGGGCACCTTTGTATTATCTCTACCGTTTCTGCCATCTTCTTCATCTGCACTCCAGGTATCTTCCATATTTGCATTTAAGTCATTTTGATCAGGAAGGACACCAAGACTTGGAATTACAATTTCCATTTTGGGTACTTTTCCACCTAACATAGGTTTAATATCTTCAAAATCACCTTTACTTTCTAGCTTACTACTTGATACTGTCGCAGGAGATGAAACAACAGAACTCTTCAGTTCTTCACTCAAGCCATCTTCTGACACTTCTTCCACAAGGGAAGTAGCTTTCCAGGTTTCATTAATTTCACCAAACAGTTGCTTCAGCTCTGCTGTAATGTTTTTAAAGCTTGTTTTCAATGCCCTTTTTTCATTTTCAACCCACAGTTTTTCATACCTTTCTTCCCAAGTTTTTTGACTTAACTGCTTGTTAGCACTATGTGACTTTTCATCATGGTGTGAAATTTCTGTTCTGTCAGTCTGATTTTCATGTGCTGCTTTTTGTATCAAGTTGGTAGTTTCTAAGATATATTTATCCTTAAGTAAACAGGTACAAACAGAAAAATTTCCAAGAAAAAGGAAGTTACAGTTAATCTAGGTAATTCTTGCTGCAAACTCATCCTTATTATGTAACAGAAATAGAACATTTTGAGAGCAATTTTTATAATAAAAAAAAAATGATAAAGATTCACAGTATCACCCAAAAGGAAAAACACTAGCCAAAATTTAAGCAAACTGGCTCTAAACAAATCACTAGAAAAGCGACTATCCAACATAATTACAAGAATTTTACCCTACTGTAAGAAGACTGCATCCAACTTTACTTACATAGAGCCTTCATCTATAGGACTCTCACCATTATGCACTGACTGGTATGTTTTCTTTACCTTAGTGTAGAATACGATTTAACAATTCAGACTCTAATTCAAAATATTTGGGTTTACATACCTGTACCCCATAGTTTTCAGTGGTATCCTTGATGTCTTCTTTTGTAGCTGATGATGACATGTGAGAGGTAGATCCTGAATACTCACCTACAGCAAAAAAAAATAAATTCTATAACCAGCATGACTTAATATTACTTATTTACACTCAGAGTGCATCTTGAATCATCATATTTGTAAGAAAAACTCTTTTAATACAAAATAACATATCCCTTCAAATTCATGAGCTCCTATGCATATAACCTCCATAATTCAACATCCTCCTTTCCTTCAATAGTTACACATAGTTTTTGTACAGAGGTCCTTGTCCTTCTTACTAGAATTGTAATGTGGCTGGATAATTTGAACCAGCAAGATTCCCCTCCACTGAGCATATAGCTCTGAGAGTGTCAACAGGAAGGCATGGCGAGAAGTATTGCAGCCTGATGAATTCCAAAAAAAGTACCTCCACAGACATCACACTGATTTTTAACATCCTTTCAGAAAACAAAAGGAAAAGAACTCAGGAGAGCAGAGCTAGGCACAGACAGGCACCCAGTATTTGGTAATGTGCACATCATAATAATTCCTGCTAAGTAGCTGCAGCATGATCCCAAGAATTACCCTTTGTCTCACCTGCAGCTCCTGGACATCCCTAGCCTGGAATCATCCACAGCACACACTCAGAGAACTAGGAATATCAAGAAAGTGTGTGTGTATGGTGTGTGGTTTGATATGTTAGTTGCTTTTTTGGGGCTTTTTTTTTCTTGGTTGCTTTGGTTTGGGTTTAGGTTTTTCTGGTTTTCGGGTTTCTTGGTTTGTTTTCTTTGGGGGGGGGGGGGGAGAGAGGGGTGTGTAAATGGAAAGAAAACTCAGGACTGCCTGAAAAGGGGAGATGACAGCAGTCACAGTGGAGGAAGCCTACATCATGGAAGAATATTAGTGTTGAACAGCAGGCTAGAGGAGAGAGCAAACACATGCATAGATGCATATTTGAGTAGACATGCTGCTAGCAGAACATCTTGCTAGAACCATTAATTTAATATTAGGAAAAAATACGCAAGTACAATGTGTCCATAAAAGAACACTACAAAGAGACTGTAATGAATACCTTTAATATTCTCTGCATCTCCTAAACCAAATTCCTCCATCAGATCTGCAAAACAAATGAATCAGATGCTTTATTACATACTCCTGTCCAGAAAAATTATGAAGTGAAACCCAGAACCACATGAAGCGAATGTTACCTGATTTCTCCTGCCTATTTTTAGGAGAGGGTTCATTTATTTCCAAAACAGCTTCGGGAGTCTTTAACTACAAAAGACACAATCCAATGGTAAAAAAAAACCAAATTCAAAGTACCTACATACTTAATAAGCAGAACAAGTAGTTGGTCTGACGTGAACAAATATTTACCTGGGAATTGCTGGGTTTCTCTGAAAAGCCTGGCAGTAAAAGAAATATTTTGTCAAGTGTTATTTAACTGAAGGTATATTTTACTCCATTCACCATTCACAACTAAATATTAGTTGCAAGCATTATTTCATCAAGACATTCAATTTAGCTCACCCTGCAGCATTTGTATTAGCATACAAGAAACTGACAATATATTTACCTTTGTGCAAGAAACTGACAACATACTTCCCTTTGTGCACCTTGGATTAAAAAAACAATCACAGGACTAAGACAATTCACATGAAGCCATAACATGCTTGTTAACAGAATAAGATGAAACTGTTTAGTCCTCTTGAGGATCTGAATCCTGCTTTCCTAAAGGATTATTCCAAAAGCCAAAGCTAGTCTGCTGCAACAAATGAATGTTTATGAATGAACAGCCCAACAGCACTACCACTATGATTATCCTACAAGTGTTTAATGTGGAGAAGTATTTTCCTTTCCATTGATACAACAGAATATATATGGGAGCAGACACAGAAATCTAATGCAAATGATTTCAGTGAGGTAAAACCAAGCTAGTTCTCATCAAATTATTCTGGTTTATCTTGAAAGAAAACAAAAAGAGACAAATATTTGGTTGGAATCTGCAAATTTTTTTTTTAAATTATTTTTGTCCAACATTAAATAACTTCTAAAACTTGTCCACCTGTATTTCTCACAACCCCTGTTTCAGTCATCTTTTAGTTTGAGTTCTCTCATGAAAAAAGTATAAGAAATGTTACTAAAAATGGCTCTAGAGAAAAAAAATTATATAAAAAAATCATTTAAAACCAAAATACATTTGATTTCAGTAGACTCGATGATCTAGCAGTACAGAAATACCTTAGAAAGATTACCATAATCACTTTAACACCCTTTATACACTGCTTTTTTTTCCTGTGGGTTTTTTGTTTGTTTGGTTGGATTTTTGTTGTTTTATTTTATTATTATTATTTTTTATTTTGGGGTTTTGTTTGTTTCTTTGGGGTTTTTTTTGGTGTTTTTTTTTTTAACACTGTTTTTTGACTTATCTACTAGAATCAGACAAAGCAGACTTCCATGACAATTACTCAACAAGTAGATTTAAAACCTCCTGGGAGCTTGTAACATTTTGATTCTAGCTTACTGAACTAAAACTGGATTAGCTTCTTCAGCTATTCTGCTGTACCTCTGCTACAAACAGGACTGACAAACTGCTTGTTAAAGGAGAAATCCTTTAAAAATGAGTTCTATCCCAACAGCAAAACTTCCCTGTCATCCTATGCTCAAGATGCTCAAGAGACAGTGTCACAAACTACAGGCAAAAACCTTTAGCCACAAAACCTGAACTTTTAGTCACAATTTTAGCTCCTAGGCAAAGCAGAACAGAAAGCTACAAAAATAATAACCTAAGGAAAAAAAATGCTTATCCAGGTCATAGCTTTCTTCTCTTGCATAATCATCAAAATTGTTCACGTTTTCAGAAAGGTCAGCCCTAAACCACATATACTTTCATCAGTATGAAACAAGAACCTGAATCCAGAAAAATCCAAACGCATCCAAAGTATGCACATAAGGCAAACAAGACAACTTGCTTCACAAACTGGCAAGGAAGAGCCAGTTTGTGGTGTTAATTAACAAATACAAAGCACTTAATTTGTACAGCATACATTATTAAAAGCATTTCTAAGACAGACACTCATAAAAGTTCACTTTAGCCTATAAATGCTTACAAACAAACATTTCCACCAGAAAGTTACCATTGTGTTCCCCTGAAGCAACCTGAGAGCATGCTCCATGTCTGTCTGCAGCTGGGAACACCACACCAGATGATGCTTTTCTCAGATCTTCAGAATCTGTCTCTATAACCTAAAAACAAATGCATTAGAATTGGTATAAATGCATTTTCAACTCATTTCTATGCAAAAAGCTCCTGCTAAGCCGTCTTGCACAGCATGGTATCAAGTATCTTACGGGATGCAAAAAACCTCTGATAAGACACTTGGAAGGGACACATTAAGACATAGGGTATTGGAAAATCACAGCAGTTGTGTTTTCAGATCTTAGGCAAAAACCTCAAAGCTCATCTAAGCTACTCTGTCATGTTGACAAGCCTTGGCAAACTGGACAGCCACAAAAGAGAATTAACATGGCAACTCAAGATGTGGGTTGTGAACCAGTAACTGCATGTCTGTGGCGATCCAATTTTTGTACTGAACTTGTACGTGACATTCAAGTTCATGCTTATGTTCCCTAGGGACATATCCTGCAGGGGTGAGTGAACACATCGCTACTCCCAATTGCAAGGGTGATTTGGGCTGAACAAAGCAAAGCAAGACAAGCTTACAGAAACTAAGGCTACCTAAGGAAAAAAAAAAAACAAACCCCAACAAAACCAATATTTCACTCCTGTATTTTTAAGAAGAGGGCAGGGAAGTTTTAAATTTTCCTCATAAGAAAAGCCACAAGTGGTTAACTACAGACCGCCTGTTTTCTTTCATCCCATTACCACAGACAGAAAGAACTAAAAGGGCAAATGCAGCCAGCATGTCTGGTACTTCTGTTGAACATGACTTTCAAAAAGGGACAAAGTACACCTGCAAAAGGTAGAGAGAATCTATTCAGAAACACCTAACCATCTAGGTTGTAGACTGTAAGGGACACCAGGTCAGCAGAATAGAACTATATGGTGAAAGGACAAAAATCCTGCCAACCCCTGTGGAAAGCTCAGACTATTTTAAGTACCAAGAAACTTCACTGTTTCAATACTATACTAGAAACCAAACTCAAAAGCCAGTTTCTATGAGGCCCATGTCATCAGGCTGACCTAGCTTTATCCCAGTCCTAACTAAACAGCTGTCCTACAGCAGAAGTGTTTCAAGGGGCCCCAGTTGCCAAGATACGGCAGAAGTGGAAAAAGAGGAAAGAAGCCTCATCAGTGGTAGGGCCCAAGTCAGAAGCAAGCTCTCAAGTGCTTCTGGATCTTATTCCTACTCTCCCACTCCCCACCCTGGTGGGAATCCCCATGCTCCTCCTCTCAGGAAGTACCTCAGAATCCCAGGGAGAGGAAGAATCTTCCTCTGCTTCCACTGCTGTCAGGGCACCTAAAAATGAGGTGAAAAGGAAGACATTTATTTTTTTTTTATTTCACTCTGCTTTTCCCTGTCATTCAAGCTCTGCACCCAAAAGATGCACAGCAGCTCTATTGTTGAGGACAAACTCAGAAGTGTTATTCCAGGGTTTCTTCTCATCCAGCCACATCACGGTATTTCCTTTACATAACCACTTCCTCTTGCCTCCTCTGCAGCAGAAGATGGCTATGCACAACAGCTGACAACTACAAGCAACACCCAAAACATGTTTAGGTAACATTCCCAAAGACACCCCAGCACGCTGCTGTCCTGTGGTACACAGAGTTCGAATCACCTGCTCTCCAGCCTACGGCTCTAAAATTTGACATTCGCTACCACCTTCCACTGTATAGGAAGTACTGTTGAAACATTATCCAAAACATCCTCAAGCTAACAACACTAAAATCACCAAGAAACAATGCTCCTTTTGTCCCGCTACCAGGAAACATCCTCCTTGACACAGGGTTGCTGCCACAAACCTTCCCAGAAGCTAGACACCTGAGCACTGCCATTTGAAAATGTGCCTTCTTCTCTGAGACCCGAGGTGAGTACCAAGTGCTCAGCTCTGATGGAGCTGGTAATGCTTTCAAGCACACACAAGCGTGGCACTGGAGAGATGCTCTGCGTTTTAAAACTGGACAAGGTGAGGCACTGGAACAGAACAGCTTTCTCTCAGCCTGACTAAATTTCACAGGCTTCAGCCAAGAGCAGTCACAGCTTTTCAATCTGACTGCATGGGCCAGAAAGAGGAACATTACTGTCACACTCAAGGCACTCGAGTTCTCTTTTTCATCTCCATATTTTGTTCAGATCACTTCAGGGAGAACACAACAAAAGCAAAAATGGCGCTTGCTTCATATAGCATCATTCGGAATACAATGCTAGAATTTCACTTCAAGAATAAATGAAACGGCACAAAACTACTTTCCTTCTCTGCCAGTGACCATGAGGACTCGCAGGCAAGAAGAAAATTTGCTTTCTCATTGTCAATCACCATTTCAGCTCATTTGCTGTGCATTAATACTTACAAAGGAATTGGGATCAGTATTCACAAACTCATTTCTCTCAGCAACATTGTCTTTGGAAGCATCACGGACTTGATGGCTATAATTACAAGCAGAATTTTTCATACCCTCAACAACTGCAGTTTGTAGCTCTTCACCAACATCTTGCTTCTCCTGCTTCTCCTCCTCGCCACCGCACTCAGACGATTCCTCCTAAAAAGATCAACCAAAACACTGCAAGGGGCCGAAAAAGCATCTTTTTCACCACCTATAGATTACTTGAAAAATGCTTTTCTTGTTTAACACAAATGGGAAACTTTGAGCTTTGCTCTACAAGGCCTTCAATTTTTCCATGGCAATCTGTATGAGTAGGCAGCAATGCCTAACACCATAAAGTCTCACGCCTGGTTCTGCAGAGCCCCCAAGAAGAATTCCTCGTGTCAGTCTAACACTAGTTTTAAGTTACATCATTCTAGAACATACGCCTTCTTTTCCCCTACTTATCTCCCAGGACAATCACTAGCTTTATGCTCTCAATCCTATTTAAACTTCTTTCTGTTTCCTCAATTTCAGGCACCACACAAGGAATTTTACTAAATGGCAGTAAATCTTTACTGATAAAATCTATACATACAACTGAGAAAACTTCAACTGAATCCCAAAAAGGACTACTGCCTGGTCTTTTTCCCACAAAACCACTATAACCAACAGGAAAATAAAATAAAGAAAAAAATAATATATATATATTGCCTGATAGTATTCTTATACCTAAGAAACCGTTTTGCCTGGGAGTAAGACATTCCCTATTATCAAAAAAAGGATGATCAAAAGACTGATATATGTGAAGAACAGTATTAATAGAACTCCAGTTTAACATTTGTTTCTTATGTATATTATCCTTAGAAAATAACCTTGTGATTGAATCATCCCTATATACTCACTTTGGTGCTCGAGTAAAATGCTGCTTTTAAATTTTCTTCACACTTGTTTAAGCACAAGTTTTCACTTTCTTGATTCAGTGCTTCACAGACTTCACCATCTACTTCTTCACATTGCTCTTCTTCAGTATCCTCATCATCCACACATTCAAGAAGAGAGTTTGGTCTTTGACTTCCAAGACTTGGGCTTTTTGCTGCTAAACAAGAATTATCACCATTTTCAAAGCCATCACCAAAGCTTGACTTTTTCTCCTTAAGACCACAGCTACCTGAGAGAGGCTGAGGTATCTCCTTTTTCCAGTTTGTCTTTTCAGAGTCTACAAAAGAAGAGTCAGCATTTCTGTGAAACTTCTGGATCATGCTTTTCTTGTTCCACCTTTCTTTTGTATCTTGCAAATTATTTAGATTTTGAAAGACAGCTTGTTTTGGTACTGTCTTGCAAGATACTTCATTATTCATTATCTTTGGAGACATAGCAGTTTTATTTTCTTGTGACCGTTCATAACATCCACCTATAAAAGACACAGGAGTATCAACAGATTCCTCCACCTTTTCATCAAGTGTTATACTTACAGCGTTATCACAGACATTTCCAGCTTCACACCAAGCTTTCCCTTCATGCTTGGCACTACTAATGTACTCTGGTTTCTGATTAATTTCCCCTTTAGGCTCTTTTTTCTCACCCTGCTCCTCCTCCACTATGCCATTAGACTGAGTTTCTTCATCTTCAAGATCTTCCTCCTCCTTTTCATCTTGAGTAAGATCTTCATCCTCTTCTTCCTCTTCCTCCTCATCATCTCCATTATCTTTTTCATCAAATTCCTCTTCCTCCTCTATTTCCTCCTCCTCCAGGCTTTTCGCATTTGACACATCTTGAAGCAACTGTTCACATTTTCCTTTACTTGCATTTGCATCCGACAGGGTTCTTTCTCTGAGGCATTTCTTTGGTGACTTAAGATTTTCAATTCTAGAACTATCACCATCTTTAAGCACAAAAAAATGAAAAATGTGTGTGAACAAAAGGAGTTATGTACACAGTAATAGGCATGTTACCAGACTAATGCACACAAGTCATCTTGGAACGTCTTTAAAAGGAGCCAGATAAAGGATGGGCAGGATGGAAAACAGACTTGACTAGGGACAAAGGCTTAGGAGGGGATTAATATCTTCATTTTAAGGATATTACTTTTTCCTGAAATGACTAAGTCCTGTGTTTCCAAAATGCTACTTTTTCAGCTACGATAGCAAAAAGAAAAAAAAAAAGAAAGAAGAAACCAATACAAAACAAAAACACACAAAACAAACAAACCAAAAAAGACCTACAGGAAAAAAAAACAACAATTAAAAACCACCTCCTTAGCAAGTCCACTTTTATGTATCAGTGTATCATGCAGTCTTTTCCAAATAGCTTACTTTTTTTCCTGTACTGCTGGGAAGCATTCATTAACAGTGTCAAGTTTGGCTTCTGCAGCTTCTGTAAATAATAAAGATATATTTAAGGGAAAAAAAAAAAGTCTTGAAATGCCATCTCACAGAAGAAAAAAAAAACAACCCATTTGAGTAACTCATCCATTGAGTGTTCTTAAGGAGCCTGATGAGGAGGAAAGGAGAACTAGGTAATGAAGGGTTTCAGATCTTGATAAATAAATGCCCTTTAACAGTTAGGATTTTATCACCAAATTCACAGGAAACAATAACAATGTTCAGAGAAGAACAGAACAAGTTATAATAGTAACGTATAGACTTTTAGGGTCTGCAAATCTGACTCAAATGAACAAGTAAAAGTGTGGTTGTTTATCTCGTCACCTCTTTGGCTCTTTTGCCCCAAACCACAAATCTACCGCACGGTGTGCCATAGCTATGGATCTTTTAGGAAAAGCTCACAGCAGAAGAAAGGCTAGCAGGCCAGAGACTGCATCTAAGCAGGAAACAATATTGGCTAGAACTGCAGTTTCTGTCAATCCCAGAGAAAACTTGCCTTGAACTCACTTATTTTTACTGGACATTTTTCTTGTAAACACACCATACCTTGGGCGTAAAATCAAGTTGTTCCTCCTCCTCAGAAGTATGCCAAGTGTCATCATTCCCCTCCTCAGAGGTTCTTAAAAAGCAAGACAAAATGAGTACCGTGTCTCACAAATCATTCCTCAGGTAAGTGTTAAAGTGGCATTTTTAAAGTCTCACCTTATTGAGACTCCTTGGGAAAACGCATCCATTGCTGTTCAAACATTAAAGGGATACGTTGAAATTAGATCTGGCATGCTAACAACTAACCAGAAGATATAAACATTTAACATGGGACAACTCGGCAGGTCATAGCAGTATGAAGTTTGGGGTAGTCAATTCAACAAAGGACAGCCTGAACAAATGCATTTCCAACACAAATACCATACACTAATTGTATTAAACTAATAACATATTAATGTTAAGGTAAAAAAAACCCACTACCAATCAACCAACAAACAAACAAAAAAAAACAACACACCCCAACCCAAAAAAACACAACCAAAAAACACCCCAAAAAGGCCAGAGTTGTATCTCCTTCGGACTCTAATATACCTAGAAGCTTAAGAAACATCTCCAAGGTAAAAACCAACCAACCAAAAACTACACACACAACAAAACTCCAAACAAACCAAACCCACCCAAAAGCCCCCATAGCATGAATATACTACGTCAGTAAGCAATTAACAAAATATTGGTGGCTTAGCAAGTCAGCTAGTAAATTAACTAATGCTGAATTACTGATATTACACCTATGTGTACACATCACATACAGAGATTTTACTATCTTATATAACATTATGTCTACATTATGTTATATAATACCAAGATTTGATGCTCTACCCAGTTATACATTATTCAGAAAAGGTAAATAAAATCAAAAACCATGATCAAAATCTAAAGCTTACTCTCAGGTGGAAGAATCACCAGCAGTTATCTACATTGCATCAAAAAGGGTATTCAACAGATAAAAGGCGTGTAACCAGGGCATTCTATATTACACTCCAAGTTTTCATCAGTGTTATGAAGCAGCTTGCATGTAGAATCATAGAATAAATCAGGTTAGAAGGGACCTCAGAAAGCCTTTAAGCCAACTACCTCCTCAAAGCAGGCTCAGCTATGAGGTCAGATAAGGCTGCTTAAAGCTTTAAACCAGTCTGGTCTTGAACATCTCCAGGGAGGGAAACTGTACTGTCCTTATCATGGTGAAGCAGTCCCTGTCCAATTAGAAACACTCATTTCCATTTATACCTCTTTTACATTTGCCTCCTATCATGCACCACTGGGAAGCACCTGGCTTTGCCTTTTCCTGGAAGTTGCTGTTAGGTCCCCTTCAAAGTCACCTCTTCTCTAGGCTGAATAACCCCAGTTTCCTGACTCGCTCCTTGAAAGGCAAGCATTCCTGCTCCTGGCGAGTTTGAAAGCCCTCCCCTGAACTTGCTCACTGTTCAGACAGAGCAAGAGTCCAGCCCCTCTCGCATGCAGGGCTCAAAACTATACTAGGGAGCTGAATACAACCCAGTGAGTGCTGAGTAAAGGTGCACAATTACCTTCCCCAAACTCTTGGCTATGATGCTCTTAATACAGCCCAGGACACTGCTGAGCACCTCAGTTGCCAGGACACGCTGCTGGCTCATTCTCAGCTCACTCTCTGCTAAGACCCTCCAGGCCTTTTCAGCACAGCAGCTCTCCAGCTAGGCAGTCTTAGCATGTTTTGTGACAAGCAGCTTTTGTTCCTTTCCACATGCAGGACTTGGCATTTTCCCTTGCTGAATTTCATAAGACAGGCCTGACAGTCTGTTTACCCAGCTTTCCAAGGTCCCTGTGAATGACAGTGCTAACCTGAAGCATATCTACCGATTCCCATAGCTTGGGGCCATTTGCAAATTCAATGAGAGTGCACTCTAGCATAGCACACACGTATAACAGAAATCTGAACTATGGGAATCCAGCCTGAAGACTGCTGAAACCTCTCAAGTACCAACAACTAAGGTGAAATAAAAGGGGTCTTCAATTCCCAAGACAGAAGAACAAAACCAAAATTAAACCCACAAAACCCCCTCCACATAGTAGCTATTTCAGCACTCCTCAAGTTCTCAGTACCCAGTTCCTGTTAACTGTCATAACAAAATGAAGTTGCTTATAAATAGGAGACTGCTGACCTTCCATAAAGTCAGCAGGATGACAACCAAACTGAAGTCTTGGACAAAATCATTAAAGGAAAAAGAAAACAATGAGATATCATGCCTGAAGACATCTCCTCTACTAACAGTAAACCACAAATGACCATGGAAATTTTGGCTGACTTAAAGACAGGGTTTATGTGAGAATTTCAACCAGTACGTTTCCTGACCTGAACAGGCCTTTCAGACAATGAAATACAGTATATGTGGTTCAGTGTGGACAAGTCATGTAGACATGTCTTGTGAAACTTCCAATGCAAGAACAAGCTAAACCAGAAAAATTACTAACACTGACTTCGATTTTTAATGTTGCCTATTGCAAAAAAAAATAATATTTTAAAATTTCAATTATTTGGACATACCACCGTTTTGTGTCAACTCACTCATTACTAGCAGTCTAATGTACCTGTGAACCTCCCAGGCTGAATAAAAATCTGTCTCTGCGTAGACAGTATGTAGCAGTCAGTTATGAACTCTTCACAGGTGACTTCAGTTATATTTTCAATTAGTATAGTTATAATGAATCAAACCAGCTGAGTAAGTTATCCAAACTTTTGATTTCGATGCATAGCAACTTTAAGCAATGATCAAAACCAGGTCACATTGTCCTTAAGAAGATCATGAGCTAGCTTTCACACAGACCTTAATGTCCTACCATAGAAACAGAATCTAGAAAAGCAGCCTCTGGGGGCTGCTTGTTTCAAACTTTAATTAAAGTCCACTGCCATTCTGGAGCATATTTAAGAAATAAATAAATAACTAGATAGATAAATAAATAAATAAATAAATAAATGTACTACCATTTACTACCATTAATGACACAAAGCAGACACTCAATAATAAAGGGGCCATGCAAAACATGCAAACAAATAAAAAGCACCCAAAGCTTGCTCTCACATCTAATTTATGTAACCAAAACCGTGAAAATAGGGACTTCCAGGATAATCAACATCATAGGTGAGTTCACATTTGTATTTGTTACAGCATGTTTCACATTTGAAGTGTTACTGCATAGAATACCTTTCCTTGATTTTCCCATTCTTGATAGCTGGTTAGGAGATTGTGGCATTCCTGTATCCATTTCGGAAAATGGCATGGAAAGGACAGATGAAACAATGATATCAAAACAAATCTGCATTCCCAGAATTTGGAAAACACAGGCAGTACATCAACAAAGCTATAGCAGTGGAGAATGTACTGTGAATATCAGCCTACTCTACAGTTGTAAGCACTAGAACAAAACCAGTTACAATCTACAGAAGTCTACTCTCAAGGGACAGCGTCAAACAGTGTAACTTAATTTACTTGCTCCATGTAAAATGCTCATCTTCCAGTATTCTGAAATACTGAAACAGTTTACCAGAAATTTACTGTCAACTTTGTATTTCCCTTGACCTGACTAGCCCCTGCCTAGCACAGATTGCAAATGTAATTCCTTCATATTTGTAGAGTGCTTTCCCCATACAGCACACTTAAAATCCCTCCCTCTAAGCATCCCCAAAATCCTTAGCTACCAACAACTAAACTTTGGAGATATACTGATGAGAAATTTTGAAGGAAATCTTGGTTTTGGTACTCACTTTACCACACAACTTTGAGCCATTATGTTATTTACACTCACTCATCACAAGTTACAGTTTTAGCATGTTTATTACCCCCACTAAAAAAGCAACCCAGAACTTCCTGCCTTTAACCAGCTCACCTTGAAACTTGTGTCAGTTGGTGTCTGATGCAAATACAGACCCCTCCTACCTCAGTTTAAAGATAAAAGTCCTGCTTGCATTGAGTTGACCATGCTGAACTGTTCACATACGGGAAGCTATGCCAGCAACCAGAATGCAGATACAAGTGCTCAGAACAAATATCCTCTTCCCCCAGAGCTATAGGGCAAGCCAGAACTGAACCAAATCTGATGCACTGACTGTGTGAGTATCATGCACGCATGCATGTCTATCTGCTGTGGAACACAAGTTTTGGAATATAAATCACCTATCCACCTGCTCTACCCAATCCTACTTAGTAAAATTTTATATTCCAAGTCAGAAAACGGTGTGGCTCTGGGTTCTGCTATTACAGATACCTTACAACAACTTCTTTGTGACAAGGCCATAACATTTGTCTTGAAGCAGAAGGGAGTCTTCCTTAAATTGATTTTACCACAGATACATGGAATGAATGTGGCAAAAGGACTCCTATGAAAAACACACTTAAAGAGGTAAGAAGGGGCCTCAAGACGGTTTCTCATCCCTCTACCATTTCCCAGTTCTCTTAAAAGGTCGTACAGGACAACTTTTCCTGACCTCAGGAGATGCAAAACATACTGAAGCACTCATTTCTTTTCCAGGAACTCTATGATGAAAACCCAACTGTTTCTGCAGGGACTTAGGGAAACACTGACGAAACAAATCACTAATATGCAGTGCAGTAGCTAAAAAAATACTGTCACTGTAGACTGTCCTGGGTTCAGCAGCAGCAGTCATACTAGAAATCTGAATCGCTCTTTAGAAAAATTGCATAATTATTATTTTCTGCCCAAGAAATTCTAACTTCAAATCTAAAGAGTCTGTAATTCAATATGCTAGGGCTGGAAGCCATTCATTTTGAGGTTTTTGCAAACCTGCTTGTGATTAATAAGAAGATTCATGTTCTGACAAAAAGGAAACATGCAAATAAGCACGAGCCAACTTCTTAATTATGACAATTCGCTCATTAGAGGAGAGCATTTTGAAGAGTGCAAAAGCAGCAGAAGGAATAAGAACAACATTGAAGACCCCAGAAAACAGTACAGAAGAGCAAAAGAAAATAACTCCAAAGTGGCTTTTTCTCTGGTTTCTCAAGATCACCCCAGCTTCTCTTAACAGAAGCATCAATGCCTGTTTCTGCAACACATCAAAGAGACTCTCAAGATGCAGGACTTGTGCTTTGTGTCTGCTAGTCAGAGATTACAGGATTAATGCCAGTGAGTGTTCCCTATATGCTACTAATCTCCCTTAACAAGCCAGGGTCATCTTTTAAGAGGTTGAGTACCAGGAGAAAAGGATTCATAGTACTCCTGAGAAAAACAAGCCCTACTAGAAACAGACAGCATACCTTCTCCTCTTAAGTCCTTAACTCACATAACATTCTCTTCACACTTATTATGCTTCTTAAAATTAAGAAGAGGCATTAGTAAAGATTTTTCATAATATTAGGGACTTCTATTAATAGTAGTATAATTTTCAAGGAATGGGGCAAATTATTTGGTTCAAGAACCCATATCCCTGAGAGCATGCCAGTTTTGAAATCACAAGACAATATTATTCTTCAAGCCACGTATTTCAAAATAACCCAGGCCTGTCAGCCGTTACCAGGCGGTACTACAGTAATTATCTACATGCACAAGAGGCAGTAACAGAGAACGCTGTTTGGGTGAAAGCAACATTTTGCCGATTAAACTACCTGTGCCAAGCCCTTTCCAAAAATCTTCCTCCAAACTACCAAGAAACTTTACAAGTCTCTTAATTAAATCAAATCAACGGTTTCCAAATTAAAGGAGCAAAGTTCGGCTCTATCAAATTCACATATCTGGGAAAAGTCAGTGAGGAAGAATATGACATATACATCCCACGTTTTACTCTTATTTTTTGGCGTATTTAAAAAAAAAATAATGAGCCGCGAACAATCTGCTGCCCATTTGCCACACAGCTCTGGCATAACACCTTTAAAAACCCGGAAAGAAAAAAAAAAATCCACTGTAGGGTCTGAGATTTAAATGATGAGACAAAATGTCATTTAAGTTACAATATTAATTTTCTAATATTCCACTACAGCTATGTGAGCTCATAAGCATAGAATGGATTTTAAAAACTCACTGAAGAACTTAAGTTTTTGATCACATGGCAATTTAATTGTTTTCCTTGGTCACTAATTACTAAGGATTTTTTAAAGCTCGTTTAATAAAATTACTGAAAGTGGACAAAAACCACTGTTTTTCTTGCAAATCAAACAATGTCCAAGAAGATACAACACAAATGCTACACTGTTGTTGCTAGCAAAGTTACCATTCCAAGATAATTTAAGAGTATGTCCCTAATCAACTACATGGAAAAAAAAAAAAAAAGTAATTGATGCTGAGAAAGAGGATGACTCACTAAAAATCTTATTGCAGATGAGTACTAATATTAAAACAAAGACATACACACTCACTGGAAATCAACATGACACATACCTTCCTGCTAACTCATCTGTTGCTTTCCAACTACAAAAGTATGAACAACTACTCAAGATAAACCTACCGCTTTTGCAATTGGATTTTCACAAGCTGAATGGCCATTTGTAGGTAAAATTACACACCTGAAGGACAGAAACACTCTTGCCTAGTTCCTTCCCTGGCCCCCTTCTCTCTAGAAAAAAACCTACAGAGATGGGCAGCCTGAGAAGCAGAAGGCAACAATCCTATAAACAAACATGTAGCACACAAATCAGCTTGACAAGAAGCACCTCCAACTAGCATCAGATAAGCACATTCACACAACCTTCTGTGCTATCAATCTCATGCCTCCACTAAATTTACTGGTGAACACAGTAAGTGGTAACAATACAAGCCACCTAAAGAAAATGACATGCTGATTTGCCTCAAGAGATACTCTGTGGTTAAGGATCCTACCTCCTCTGTCCATAGCAGGTGCACCCAGTGTAAAGTCACAAGCTCCTGCCTTGTGCTGAGTGCTTGCAGAAGCTTCTCCTGTGTTTTTCCAGTCTTTGTATTCTGACAGTTGTTTACTAAGACTACATAGAGAAAGAAAGGAAAGAGCTTTGGTAAAAGTAACCACGTATTTATACAGACTATTTAACAGAACAGTTAACAGCCCCTTATTGTCCATCCTCTACATATTCCTAGCCATATGGATTCATATACTCAGATGTATTCACTAAGGGTAACACGCAGAGAACTTATTGCGTGACTATTACAAACTTCAACATCCACTAGTCATGTTTACTCTATACATGCATATTCAGACCTACAAAATCATTAACTACTGCTTTCCTGCTTGGTACATTTTCTTCAGCCTTGCTTTTCAGCACACATAACCGCTTTAGAGAAGGAACACCCAGAGGTACAAAGCTATGCATAAGAGTAGTAAACTGCCAAAGATTTTGACAAAAGGGGTAACAGTTAGATCTCATCTGAAACAAAAGGCTCATAGTTCCTGGTCATTGTAGGGGAAGTCAGTCAGGACAAAGGTGCTGATCTGGGGAGAGGGTTTACATGCATTTCAGTTTGCCAAGTTCCACCTCTGGATAACTGTAGGATACAGCCACTTTTTTTTATTTTGGGCACATGTGAGCTTCACAACAAAATCTGAAAGCTATCAGAGAATTTTGGGTGGAAATCTTCCTCAAATCTGAGTTAACATTAAACACAGGAACAATATATATTGGAAGACATTACTGAGCACAGCTTCAAGACAGGTCTCAACATACCATTAAACCTTGATGCTGTTACCCCAAAACCAGCAACTTAGACAACTGACACTGGTAACAGACAACTTATTCCAATGATAAAGTTGAAAATTTACCTAGAATATCCACAGATAACAGCATAATCCTCAGCTGTCCACCCATTAGTGTCTTTATGGGAAACATCAGCACCATAATGAAGAAGAACTTTTATCAAATTAGGCTCCCCACCAGAAGCAGCAGTCATAAGTGGAGTTCTGAAACATTCAAAATACTATATAAAACAGATAATATTACATAGGCACTAGAATTATTTTTATTCATACTTGCTTTCAAAAAAAGTATTTCCCCATTACTTTAAAATGAACAGAAAAAAGGGCAGCTTTTGGTAAGTATTAAGAGCAACAATAAAATGGGAGCAGGAGTCAGAATAATTAACTTCTCAAGCTTCAGACAAAGCTTCCATGCGGACAATACTTACATACAAACTATGTTGCTATGCAGGGGACGGTTTTTCAAATTGAGGCAATGCTGCTCAGCTAATGGCACTTTTCCCGCCAGAAGGGCCACCACACACAATGGCTTCTTGCAATCCTCAGTGCAAAAATCATCCACTGAGGTAAGACAGCAACCAAGCGCATACTTGCTTTCAAAGCTCATTCCCATGACTCTCATCAATCCAACCTAACGAATACTAAAGGAACCCATGCAGAGTTTTGACATATCCCTCACCTTCCACACTGATCTCGAGCATGCACATCAGCTCCCTTTTTAAGAAGAAATTCCACTATCTCTTCCTGATGTTCTGAGACAGCAAGAATAAGCGGGGTACATCCCTCCTGATAGGACATACAAATTCATCAAGTTAGAAATCAAAGTGAAAAAGCCCCCTCAAGATGAACATTAACATGACTTTCTGAAAGAGCTTCTGTAACAAATCTAAAAATTTACCTTATTCTGGGCATCAATGTTGGCATTATGCTCAATTAATAGCCCTGCTACAGATGTATTAGGAGATAAAACAGCAAGATGAAGGGCAGTATTCCCATCTGCATCTGCCAGATCTGGGTCAGCACCATGCTCTAGCAGAATAGCCACACACTTTTCTTGCTGGCACTGTACTGCCTGGGAGCAACACACAAGAAGGAAAAAATTTCCAACATTTACATTCCACTTTGTTACAACTCCCCCAGCTTCCCTACAGTGGAACAAAAGAACACCCTCGAAGACTACCTAACATATGCCTATGCCACAGCAATTACAATATACATGGTTCTACAAAAGCCTATATAAAGAATCTGGCAAGATACATCATTTAGTGCATAATCGATAAGCTCCACTTACACGAACATAACATATTCCACATACCTTCATCAGTGGCGATCTGTTATCACTGTCAAAAAGATTTAGCTTACACTTGTTTTCTACAAGGTATGTGACAACATCCGCATGGCCATTTGCACAAGCAAGATGCAAAGGTGTCCTAAAAATTAAAGTACATTAAATTAGCACAGACAAACAACTAAGGAAATCATTTCAGGCTGTGACAAATGGGTATGATCACACTTTCACTATGCAAAGAAGCAAGCTTAAGAAGAGACTTCACATTTCATTAAAAACAGCCAGGACCCTTCTCCCCTGAAGGTGAAGTAATAGAAAAACCCCACAGAAACACAGCAATTCCTAATGCACGTATTTCTTGTTACAGGGCAGCTGACGGATCTCCTCCAGGGCTATAAGGTTAAGGGCAAGAAAAACATACAAAACTTCAAAAGAACTTGCAACCTCTTGCTACACAGAGAGAACAGACTGGAGCACTGCAAGAATGACTACCACAACCTTTGAGAAATTCCCATGTGAGTATGTAGAATCCTTCACCTCTGAAGAAACAACTGACTGATAGTATCTGAAAGCTAACCAGGACTGGTTTAGATGATGACGGGCTTCTTCATAAAGCTCCTACTGCCACTAAGCACTATGAAACATGAGAAACATGAAGAAGCTACTACTGGCTTTGCAAACAGAAAAGCCTTCAGAAAACCAGCAGACTCTTGCTGCAAGCCTCCTCAACCAAGCCCCTCAGACCACCAGCTGGGAAGGAGATGGCTCTGCTTGAAGCAAGCCCTGCTCAGCTCCACAACAGATACACTTCAGGACACAAGCTGGCAGAGAGCATCAGAGTGCTCGCAGTTGCCTGTTCCCACAAGAACACCAAAGCTGCTCTGCCACCCAGCCCTGGGGACCCTGGGCAGCCCTTGTTCCTCCTGTGGCTGCAATCCTACACTGATCACCCACGGGGTGGAAGAGAACTCCCTGAGCAGTTCTCTCCACAAAACCACGCCACTGGGAGAGCACAGGGAAACTGCAGGTTGGTGGCACACGCTTCTAACAGCACTTGAGCTGATAACCCAGGAGCTACAAGCTGCTCTAGAGTTCACTCTGACAGGTAGCTTGACAAGGTATAGCTTTCTTAGCAATTAGCTTTGATCCAGGACTCATGACTAGCCAGCATCACACCTACAGTACTTCCAACTCTGGGCTGAGGTTTGCACATCTCTGCAAGGCTGAAGACTTTGTTAGACCACCTCTGAAAAAACTCCTGCTCCTAACTGATGCTGTTCAAAGTGCATTTTCTGGGAGGTCCTATGGGCTACAGGACCTATAGGTGTGATTCTTGCCCCATCCCTGGTACAGGATTTTGCTTTTGGAAGTCCCAAGGACCAGAACTGAGATATTCATACGACCAAAGCACACATTTCAGCCATTACTTCCCACACTTCCTATTCTTCACTTCTATTTCCTGTGACATGAACTGTTCCGGTCATTGGAGGACTCAGTGAAAGCCTGAAACACGACCGCAGCTGGTGGTCACTCACAACTCACATCACATCCACAAGCACTGCCGGGCCTGCAACCCTCATGGAGGGTACCGTGTACAGGGGAAACACAGAAACATTCAGCAGCTATTTCCATGAATGCCATTGGGCACCTCGACTCAGACACCTGGAATATACACAGAACACAGTCCACCTTAAAACCGCATCCCCCACCTACAGCTGCATAAACAAATACTGACTGGCAACACTCGGGCACAGCATCAGCATTACTGAAGTGCCCCCTTACCATGCTCTTCCCTGCTTCTCCTACACATCTAGGTCTTTTTGAGGCAGTAAGCTAGCTGGCTGGCAGAAGTCCAGTCTTCAGGACAGCCAGCCTAGGGAGCTAAGCTACTCTGGTAAAACCCGGATCTCTTCAGAACATCACGAAGGTTTTGACTCTGACTTATTTCAGAAAAGTCATTAAAGAATTGACACATACAATACCCAGAAACTGAAGCCAAATCCCTTCTGCTTACGATGGATCGCTAGGAGCTATGCTGCAGTCCAAGACTTCTCCTTAAGATACAACTGCCAAGCACTTGCTATGCTTGACTCAAAAACCCACACCTGCCAGAAGCAGCAGCTTATCCTGCAAGTTGCCGCCTAGACCTTCCAACCCAAGATATCGACTACCTGTACCAAACCAACTAACTGCCATTCAAACTCAGGTTGTTGCTTTGGCTGCCACACCGCAGTCAGAAAAGGTACTAACTGCGCACACACCATCAACAAACCACACGTTTTTTCTGCTCTGTGGCTCTTTCCTGCCTGCACTGCTTAACCCTCCTTAAGTTACCGGCAGTTAAGGGACTGCAGCTTTCTCAGCTTAAGTGCAACTCACCTTTTGCAGGCTGCTCCCTTCCATTCCTGCGCCCCAGGCAAGGAAGTACTACTCCGGCAAAGAGGACACCGAGAAGGCAGGGGAAAAAGGCGACAGCTGGACACCAGGCCGAATTTAAGGGCTTCTGCCAGCGTAAGATGGACTCCCACACCCAGCCGAAGGCTGAGCTCAGCTGCAAACGGCTATCTCGCTCCCCACACTGCTGTGGCCATTCGACCCCAGCGCCGCTGAGCTGCTGCCGGGGGGCTGCAGCTGCTCCTGGCACTGCAAAGCCTCCCCGACCCTGCCTCAGCGCTCTCCCTCCACCGCTCCCCCCTTACCTCTCCGCTTTGTCCCGCTCGTCGACGCCGTGCTTCTTCAGCCCCTGCCGCACCTGGGCCAAGTCGCCGCAGGCGGCCGCGCGGTGCAGCTTGCCCTTCTGCCAGAGATCGTACGCACCGGCGGGACGGGGCGTTGAGGGGCTGCCGAGGGGCTGCTGCCCCTTCCGCTTCCTTCCGAACCCGAAGATCCTCTTCATGCCGCGGCAGGAACACGGGCACGGTCCCGCCTCAGAGGAGCAACAGCAGGAACCGCTATGCCAGCTGGGCCGAAGGCCGAGCGAAGATCCGGGAACTGCCTCAGCACCGTGCAGCTACTGAGGGCGGAGCTCGCTCTCCCGCCGACCACTACAGACTCAGGGGCGCGGCTTCCGTCATGAAGTTGCCAGCCTCGCGCAAGCGCTGTTGGCCGGCAACGGGGTGAGGGTGTGGCGGCTGTGAATAGAGGTGAAGTGAGCAGCCGGGAGTTGTTCCTCAGACTTAGGGGCTTGCTTCTCTCTGGTCTTCAAAGAAGTCTGCATGACTGACTGCAAGAGCAGGCGGAGAACTCTTAACAGTCTGCCCAGGAAGAGAGCCTGAAAGCTTCTTCCAAAATACAGCTCTGCTCTCCATAACAGCAAGGTCCAAAGAACTCAAACTGTGACAAAATGCAGCAGTTCTAAAACGTCGGTCACAACAGTTCTAGCAACTGTCGCCATTTGGCAGCAGTCAGACAGGTCTTGATACCGGGAAATAAAGTGTTAACATTGTGCCTGCTTGCTTAAGCAGTCGCTGTGCTTGGTGAAGCAGAACCGTAGGAGTTAAAGTTGCTAGAAAGGTGAAGCAGAATTGTAGGAGTTACAGCTGCTAGGCAGAATTGTAGTAGATAAGATTCATAGCTTAATATTTAAGACATTCTTGTTCAAATAGTACCTTTAGAAAGAAAAGGAACAAAAGATAGCCAGAGTAACAAAATTTACAAACTTGACAAGTTTCTACTTTAAGATACATAAAAGCGGCTTGTACTGAACCTGAGGTTTGGACAGGAGCCGAAACCCTATTGAGTCTGCATGAAAGCAATAGGTTACTTGCGGTGATGAAGAGGAACTTCAACCTCACGACCCCCTAAAGACCACCACCAGGAGGCACTGCGCAGGCGCACCAATGGGACAAATGCTATAAACCTAATTATAATACTAGACGGGAATAGGTTTTGCATATGTATTAGGCGTGAAGCAATCTCATGTTTAGGTAATTATTATATGCAATATAAACGAACTGAGTGGCAAGAAGGGGCGCACATGCTTTTGGAGGAGAAACCCCCATGTGCCTCAGCGCTGAATAAAGCATACCTACTTTACAACTCTAACGAGTTGTGGAGTCAATTCGTGTATCAGTCTTAGTCTGTACCAGAAGCAAGCAAAGGGAAAAACGGGGACACCTGCATGAGCAGGGGACAGGAGAGGCAGACCCAGAAGGGGGAGCAGAAGAAAACAAAGACACGTGCTAGACTGCACAGTTTATTAAATGCCAGGTTGGAACAAAAATACTTGGAATTAAATACCGGGTCTTAGCAACTCAAAAGTGTCATCTTCCTCCCACTGTGATAACCATAGCTGCTCTTCTTCTAAGACTGCAAACCTCCCATTGTGGTAACTATGGCTGCTTTTCTTCTAAGGCTGTAAACTCCAGCCTCTGAATTAGTCAGTGGAAGGCAAACATTCTGTCTCAGTGTAACCCGTCCTTCTTTTCTGGAATTGGGACATTTCTGCTCCAGCATGTTCTGAGAATCAAAGCGTCAAGGGGAGACACTTTCATATCGCACCCAAAAGCTTCGGGGGGAGGGGTGGGGTGGGGTGGGGTAGGGTGTGTGGGGGGAGGCTGGTCACACTATGCTGATGTTCTTGCTGTATCAGTGGGTTGTGTGTCATAACAGACTCCTTCGCCTTGAGGGAGGGCTGCTGAGGACCAGGAAGCTTGGTACAGAACTTCCTCCTGAGTCACCTGTCCGAAGCAAACTGATCATTAGCAGTTGTTTCAGTATATTAGACCATACGGTTTGGATCTATAAATGGATTCTAACTTTAGGCTAAAAACCATAACTTTACTTATGGATACTCCTTAGCACTAGTTGAGAACACTATTCCAAAATGCTTACCGTATTTTCCACATAGGCTTCAGCCCCGTTTATTGATAGCACTGAGGCCCTGGTCATGCTTTGGACAGTTCTTCCTACACACAAACTTATGTTCACTGTCAAAGTGTTGCCAAGATGTCCCAGTTCAGTTGAACACTGAACTGGACTTTCAGACAGATCTTCGCTGTCACTGCTGCTTGTGGATGGTAATCTCTTCCCACGGTGTTCCTGACCAATCTTAGCATAGGCTTCTCATAGTTGCCTTCCCACCCAACCGAACAATACCCACAGTCCTTTGTTCTCGTCCGGGTTTTTGTGCACAAGAATTACGGGTACCTTATACTGCAGTTTTTGCGGGAGCTCGAATTCCTTGGTTATTGCCTCTCTGTTCGTTGACCTCACGAGACTACCCGGGACTACAACTCCCGAGCCACAGATTGTGGGGCGCCTCCTCGTAAAAGCTATAGTCCCGAGCAGCCACACAGAGATCAGATCGGGCTCACCAATTTTGTTATAAAAATTCCATCTTGGCCATGATCTGATCTAATTATTTTTTTTGTTACAATTGATTAATATTGAGAGGCAATAAGCAAGCAGCACTGGGTGCGCCAGGGAGTCTCCGCTCCACCCAAGACGCACACCGAGATTCCTGGGGTACAGTCTCTTATACTCCTTGGTCGGGGGCTTCAGCCAATCCTGTCGTCTCCTTCACCCGAATATCGATGTGGTTCCTTTATAGTTCTCCTCCTGTTGCTGGGGTCTTATCTTTGGGTGAAACTTCTTAAAAAGTTATTGAATTCCTTGGTAATACATCAACAGGAGATGTCTATCATAAGCTTAACCACCATCTTAGCCCCCTAAATTCCATTTCTTATATAGTTACTTATTCAATACACAAGTTGCACCTCATCCTGTAACAGGAGGTATCTCTTGATTACCTAACCCCCTTAAGGCATTCAAGCAGTTAAACAAAGTACCCCTGTAATTAGCAAAGCGTTTGAGACATTCAAGTAGTTAAAGTACCCCTTAAAGTAACAAAGCATTTGATTAAGAAGGATTATTCCTTTGTTCCTTCTTTCATCATTGTATTGAGAGGAACGTCGACTTTTGATGCCCAGAGAAGGATACATTTCAATTATTGTCAACTTTTTTTCCCATACTGCTTAAGAATCATAGTAAAACCTTCTAGAACATTTCCCTGCTCCTTTGCTAAAGCCATAATTCTCAGCCGCTTACTCCTGTCCTGCAAGAGTCAATCTGCGCGGCTTGAATTCTCTTCCTTTCAACATATACCTTTGCTTATATTCAGCAAGCAGTTCAGCTGAGCCACGCCACTGGATCGACAATTAATTGATTTTCATGTTCCACGTGGTAGGCGCCATTTGTGGTGTTACATACCACGACACGGACTCAAGTTAATGCAGAGACTTGAATCCTTGGTTATTATCACCCAGCGCTTTTTATCCCCTTGTTCAGTACTTTCCCATCCTGCACATACATTCAATGTTCAATTTGATTGGCCCCTGTAAAACTCTCCAGATAAATAGGGCAATCGCAGTGCTGCAGACCCTCTCACAACCCCCATATCCTCTGGCCTCCAACTGAGATTCTTGCCACAGCTACATCCTGGCCCCCCCTCCCAAGGCTTGTTTTTTTTTATCTTCCCTGTCCTTCAGTGTTCCACTTCATTGCCCCAGGGCTTGTCAAGTACCAAGGCCTCAGAGCTCATTCCCAAACTCTTTTTCATGGAAATCTTATCACCTTCACTCCCCACAATATATATACATATATATACATCCACAGAGAGAGAGACAGAGAGAGATCATTCCTCAGAGCATAGACCAATCCCTATAAAGCTGCTGAGTCCATCTGGTCCATGATGTAACAGTCTTTCAGAGCAGGAGAGGCTGTGTGCGGTGTTCACACTCATGAATAAACTCAGCAGTAGGGTCCATTGCTAAGTCCACCCCTTGATCATGAGTCCATCTGTATGTTGCATCTCTGCCCTGATGGCCTGAAGTGTCATGGTCCCACCAGGCTCAAATTAATTCACCCTCCCCTTCAGCAGTTACTGCAACTTGTTGCTGGGGACTCCATACAGCTGCCTTCCATCTCCAATGCTTCCAAAGCACTGGAGGGGCCCAGTGGACGAGGTGCTTGCCCATACTGTCCCACATACCCTGTCACTCATGACTGTCCAGCCTTGGGGAAAATCTCTCGGTCCCAAGGGTACCCAAAGGCCATTCAAACCCTTCAGAACTCTCAAATGGTGGTGCTGTACTTGTCACTGGTGCTGGTGTAGCTGCTGTGCTTGGATCTGGAGTAGCTGCGCTGTCTGCTGCAGTCGGAGTTTGAGTAGCTGCTGTACTTGTCGTTAGGGTTGCTGTAGCTGCTGTTCTTGGAGTTTGTCATCTGTTGCTTCCCAACTACAAAAGTATGAACAACTACTCAAGATAAACCTACTGCTTTTGCACTTGGATTTTCACGACCTGAATGGCCATCTGTAGGTAAAATTACACACCTGAAGAACAAACCCACTCTTGCCTAGTTCCTTCCCTGGCCCCCTTCTCTCTAGAGAAAAACCTACAGAGATGGGCAGCCTGAGAAGCAGAAGGCAACAATCCTATAAACGAACATGTAGCACACAAATCAGCTTGACAAGAAGCACCTCCAGCTAGCACCAGATAAGCACATTCATACAACCTTCTGTGCTAGGGTCCAGTCTGATCCTCGTGGCTCAATGGGAGCATTTCCCTTACCCTTTTCACCTCTAATTCCTCTATCTCAATTTCCTTTTAAATTCCGTTAGACATAAACTGTTGTACCAGTCTGAGACCAGGACTAGTTCCACCGCACCTAGGCTCCATCAGGAGTTTAGGAAGCAAGGGGGTTTAGTCTGAGCCTCACGACTCAACAGGAGGGTCTGCCTTGTTCTTTTGTACCTTCGGTTTCTGTACACATTTCAATTCAACTCTGTATAATCACTTTAATACAATCATGTATAAATCATTACCAGTTCAGACACAATCTCTTTTTGTACGTAATAGAGTGAACCTTGCCATTGAATTCTGTTGAGTCACACATTTCTAAATTTATATTAAAACTACTTTTATTAATATCTCTGACAGCGATTCTTTTAGTGATCCTAAACACTCAGTTTTGTGACAAC